GTGTTTGTATCCCTAAGAAGGTCATTATAACAGATACTGAGATCGGTATTTATAGTAACACCTAAATATTATGATCCAATGTCCAATGTTGTTCCAATATTTGGACTTCCTTGACGTAGGACGTAAAGATTCAATGGAGTTTATTTGCGCACGCTTTGCGATTCGTTTAGCTTAAAGGATTATCTTAACATGAATCACTGTTCTTTAATTATCCCTAAATTGGCCTTGCTAATTGTGTTCTATAGGCCAGACCGTTGTAGTTAAGTTTTGATCCCTATAGCAATTAAATTAAAATTCGATCATTCGGGACGTGCACCCATAAGTAATGATAAGGTGTGATACTGTGATATGAAGATTTATACTGGCGGGAACAAACAAAAAAGTTCTTGTAGAACAGAGACATCATATGGTGGTTTTATTTTACCAGGGTAGTCCCATCAGATGTCTAAGAACTGTTCTCCCTTGGGTTCTTAGGTTACGACACAAAACACGGAGACTGCAATGCATAATAATACAGATTTAACTTGTGAGAACAACAACAATGTTGGGAACTTTTTTCATTTCTCATGTTGGATCAGTAGAATACATCTTTAGAATTATTCTGTTTGCAACGCTTTTTTCCAGGGCGGAGTCGAGTTAAGGTTGGCACAGCGGTCTTTCACTTTTGGTAACCCGATTCCGATCCTGCATCAAATGGCATGGGTTGCTACTTGTTATCCCTACAAAAAAACTGTTTATTGAAGCCTAGCCTACGTTCAAAAAATTTTGAAAATGTTAAAAATGTATGTTCCGTGGATGCTGCATTTAGAAAACGAATACAGCCACCTGTAATTGTGGCTGTGCGGGCCAGCAAAACGCATACTAATGTACATGTAGGGTACTACATGTACTTTATATGGTGCACTAAGACAGTGCTGCCAGGTCGGAAACTGAAGACACATTTTATTGAGGTCAAAATCAGTGAAGCCTAAACTTAATTTCAAGTCTTCCCTGTCACTGTATTTTATGTATGCATGATCATCTTTGCTCATAACGCACATTCCGAAATTTAGTTTGCAAATGTCAGACATTGTAACGTGCATGAAATGCGAAAACATATGGGTGTATGCTTGGTAAGTTCTATGTGTTATTATAAGACGCCGATGGGTCTGAAGCACATTTTATTGGTGAGAGTAATAGAGGATTTGACTGATTTAGAAAGGTTTGCAGTCCCTGCATAGATAAACATCTGAACAACGTCCTCTTCATAAAATCGGCAACCCAACCCACGAAAGTAGGACAGATATCCTGTTTTTCCTAGGACACCTGGATAGGTAAAAACAAAATCTCCATTCTCCCAAAAGGTATAGTGTTAGGAAACACTTTAATTATACGACTAGCATTAAAGACTATCCATGAACCAAAATCAAATTGGTAGACCACAAAAGGTACCAAAATGTTCCCCTTTGTATTTATTACAGAAAATCAAGCTCTGAAACTATAACAGTCCAGTTTGCAAAATTGAACACGGTATTTCAAGTAGGTTTCTTTTTTGTTCTGTCATAAATAGTTATAACAAGGTCGATGGTACTAGCCAAATTACCTCTTTATAACAGGAATGTTGCTATAAAAGGACAGCGAAACAAAGAAACACAAAGAGAACCTGAGATTTGGGACTTCAGAATTTGATTTTTATAAGCAGAACCTCTTTATAAAAGTGCTCTTTATAATTAGAGTCGACGGTAATGATAATGGTGTCTAAGATATGTAATTGCAAGGAGAGTGGCGTTGTAGATGCAGAAATTTGGGTTCTATAATAAACTAACAAAAGGCTAAAAGGCAATGTACACATTGGGGTATGTTACGGTATGGACGCAATTACAGCATACCACGAACAATGCTGTCGTGCCTTGTGATTCGAATTAACCGCACGGACAAAGACCGGCCGCACAAAAGAATCATCGACCAAAACTAATTCGCTGGGAAGACACAATCACATTTGCATATGACATAGTGAATTCAGGATTACGATGAGCTAATGACATTCGCCAACAAAAACTCGTGAACGAAATCAACGAATATAACATTTTAATCACTGCGGATTAACTGCTGGGTTGGGAAGTCACTTGATATAATACATACATGTACCACGATGAATGAAATGCTTGCTTGGCAAATTTAAGCCAAAAGGGTTTTAATAATTTTTCCATAATGAACCATCATAAATGGCAATAGATAGGCCTATGCACTCAATACATGCATATTGACTAATATTGAGCACGTATTCGCTCAGACCTACGTAAATTTACACCTGATTTTAATGAGATAAAAAATACCAAGATGAATGAAATGCTTGCTTGGCAAATTTAAGCCAAAAGCATTTTATTACTTTTTCCATAAGAATCATCACGAATGGCAGATCTGCACTCAATACATACATACATGTATATTGGGTATGTATTCGCTCAGGCCTACGTAAAAATACACCTGATTTTAATGGGAAACAAATTGTGGTTGTTTAATTAATCCAGCGTGGACGTTTAGTAAAATGGGTCATTGTGGAAAATACTGGTTGTTATTTTTAAATAACCAATTACATTTGCAATTACCTCAAAATATCCAGACTGCATAATGCTGGAAAACAAACAGGAATGCTGGTCTAGGCAATTATATAATGTTTGTATTGATTCTTCAGTCACTCATATGATGAAAATGTTTAATGTTATTTCTGTTTTATAAATGAATTGAATTTGTATATTTTTATTATTTATTATTTATAATTATTTATATTTTAGAATCGATTCACATATAAATTGAAAGTGAAATACTATGATAGCAAAAAATGGGGGAAAAAACGACATATTTTTTTTACGATTTTATTCTGAGCCACAATACACAATGTATGTCTTGCAAGCGTATACGCGTGAAAAACAAAACCGAGAATTAGTAATTTCTGGATCGTACCAATTATTCATATTTCAGGATCCTAAAAAAAATCAATTGAATGTGATAAATAATCCCCTAAGTTCTTATTTCCATAATACATGCACATGTAGACCTATATTTTTTCAACACACAATGGCCTCACAGGTTTGGAATGTAGCGTACGACCATAGTCCCACAACGAGTGCAATACAGGTGTGTTGACAACAAGATTGCTTTTATGATAATGCGTTCAACCACGGACCCCAATATCCGTATAAATTATGCGCGCTGCCGTAAATGGAGCGCTCATTTAAAAGTCAAATCTTCGACAGGCCTGTTCATAATTACATAGAGTATGTTAATTCACGGTGCACTTAAAGTTCAGTCCCAGCGGGTCGAAGTGGTTTCTTACGCAAGGAAAGTGCCGCACGACCGTTGAAATGCCAAGCCAAAAACAAGTGACCCCCGTAGATAGTAATTTTCATCGAACGCGTTCACAGTGGGAATAGCGCTGCTGCGCCATAGTGCGTACAGTACATGTACAGGCACGAATGTGACTCAGTGCGCTGGTCAAACTAGGGTTGTAGTAATTGACATAAAAAAATCAATCACATTGAGTTTTTGCATAATCATGTCGTGTATTCCAGCTCCCTCAAAAGCACTAATCGGTTATTTGCAATAGTAATTAAAAATTAGCAATTGATCGCGACAAATTTCACAGCTGGTCCAGACACTATTATGGCGATTAGAAGTAAAGGTCATTTTCTGCAAATTTCATTCCAACTTTTTTTTTTAATTCATACAAATATGTGAGAGAAATTTCATGCCGGGAGGTGCGAAAAGGTCAAAAGGGACATTCATAAGATTTTTAATGGGACCCTGCGGGAAATTCCTTGATGTTCTTTATGCCATTGGGTCGTGGTTGTGAAATGGTTCACCCGACCAAATTTTTTTTAACACTGGCTACATGAAAATTTGAAAATTAAATTTACACGAGATTGTTTAGGGTTAGATGACCCCACTTTTAAATATACTTCACAATTCTCGTGATTTGTTTTGTGTATAAGGCATGAAAATATTTTAAGGGAAGACGGTGTTAAAAATATACATCTTCACTATATTGAAGATGCAGAATGTGTAGACAATTATGCAGAAATACACGCATTGATCATATAAAAAAAATATAACTTTATGACAAAATATCTAATTTATTCATGACATTCAATATTTTCCATGCATTTTTATGTTCATCTATGGAAGTGTACGAGTATGACCATAATGCGAGTGAACATTCGATGAATATAATCCAAGAGATGAAAGACTATTTGACAGATTGTTTATTGGTTTATGAGTAATAGGAAACGTGTTTATACAGTCAAAACATGCACTGTATATTTGGGTTTACATGTAATATACATGAGTTCAATCAACAAAATACGTTCCATATTTAATTTCAAACCACTAAGTGATAAGTACACTTTGAGCCGCTTTACGAATATACTTTTGTTATGTCCAATACCACCTGAAGTGCATACCCATTTCTATTTTAATGCATGTATTATGCTAATGTGTACCGGTATAATTTTATCCTGGACAACAACTTCATGATTTAGAGACAGCAACTGTATAGGCTGCTCTGTAGACAGGCATATATTGCAGGAGATAACAAGGATTCATATTCCATGATTTTTGTTATTGTCACATGATGGTATGATGTCAGTTTTGTCTGGTAGTTTTTAATATCGATGTCATAATATTGCCTCACCTGATCTGCTTACTCAATAGTTCCTTTTAAGCTCTAGTTCCCACATATCTATTCGTCTACTATGTGTAGCTTTTTAATTGAATTTGATGCCTAGTTCTTGTGTTATGTTCTGAGCAGTTTTCTAGTGCAGTTTTGTTTTTGTCGTATATTCGAGGGTGTTTTTTTGTCAGTTTCGCCTGGTACTTCTTAATATGTTAATGTTAATGATGGTATTATTATGAGATTACTATTTTTTTCCAGTGACTGTAAATCATGTTCAATTCAGCCCTTAGCTGCGAGTCATGATTTGTTTCAATAAACTATTTAATGAATGAATGAATGAATGAATGAATTAATTCAGTATGTGCAAACTCATTCTCTGTCACGGTGAATCATGTTCAACGTTGCATCTGTTTCAGAGATCACTTTGCTTTTTGTCGAATACGAACCATGGTTATCTGGGTGGAATTAACACCAGTAAATTCAGAGAACCATGTGTCGCTGTCAAACATGAGGAGAATGTTGTGGATAGTGCAGTGACCAATGATAACTACTGTTTGATATTCGTAAGGCATTTGAAATCGTACACAGGCAATGATTGGTAAAAAAATTATGTAGTCTTTTATTATCCGAGTGAAGATTTTTGCTGGTACAGGTTTTGATGACGTTAGGTGGTAAAGATTAGTTTCAATATTTATTAACATATTTTTAAAGGAATTTAAACTGATGGGAATGCAGCTTTCCTTGTGGATTTTGGTTTTTTGCAGTATAGCGGACCAACTTTTCTATAATGGATTTAAAAAAAAACCTCAAGGTTCAGAGCAAATCTGCATGGCATTTTTTATCATAAAAAAACCTACTGTAAACTTTTCTCCAATTCACCAGCTTTGCTATTTTTAAAGAAGATTGTCGACTTTTTAACTCTAGTGAAAGCACCTACTTCCTAATAACTAACCATACTGTGTCAGTAAAAAAATCATCCAAAGGAGTGAGATGCCATAAAATTATCCTTACCTCTATTCGCGTCTTCTCCAATTCTCGTTTCATCTCCTTCCGGGTATTTTCCGAGTCTACAAGTTTCCTCCTCAGAATCTGGCACTCCTCCTCCGTCTTGGCACGTTTCTCCTCGATCATCTCCAGTTCTTGGTGCAGCCTTATGGAGACATCCTTGGCCGTCCTCAGCTCCTGCTGAAGCTCAGCAACCTCTCCCAGCCGAGGCTCATCGGCAGGGGAGGAGTCCCCAGAACTCCGGGAGGAGCTTAGGCCCGATGGGGCGGGGATTCCGGCCGAGGTGGCTCTGAGACGTTCCTCCAACTGCAGCCGATCTTGCTCAAACTCCTCGTTCTTTCTCTCGGCTTTCCGGAGACGGTACTGGAAGACGCGGCAGTCTCTTACGGCTCGATCCAGCTCCATCTTCATCTCCCGATATTCCTCTATCTCCCCTCCCTCTCGGTATTTATCTGTGGACTCCTCGACCTCTAGACGCATCTCTGTTAGCTCCTCTTGGAGTTTGGCATTCTGGTCTGAGAGATCTTGAGCCAATTGTTCCACGGCATTTAAACGGGATTGGAGTTGGAGGACTATCCGTTCCCCTTCGTGGTCTTCATCGTCCTCCACGAGGGTCTCCACGATCTGCGGCACGTTCACGTTGGTGGCCGCCATCTTGGATCCCGTGTCAACATCACCTGTCCTCGGTTTATCATTTGTTTCGCTCTCCTTTAATATCTGCTCCTTGGTGTCTTTTACAGTGGCGGGGTTCTCCGCGGGAGAGGATGCTGCTGACGATGACGGTGATGACACCATCTTGATCATCTCATTGGTTGTTTCTTCCTCGGACGGGATACTACGTTCCTCACCTCGCCGTGGCTTTGGCGGTGCTGCTTTGTCTTCATTACCACTCGTGACCTCCTTATGTTTCCCCTTGTCCACTGCTTTTCCTCCTTGTGCTGTTGTCCCTGTTTCATCCTCCTCCTCGTCTTCATCCATCTCGATGAGGGGCGAGGGGACCCGCTGGTGTTGATGATACATCCTATCCACGGCAGGTGGGATGTAAACAGGGAAGGCACACAATCGCACCTCCTCTGCGAATGATCGTTCTATGGGTGTCCGTTCAGCGTCTCTCTGCTCTATTGTGACCTCTTCTGTGATATCGTCACTCTCTCGCATGCTCGTATCCGTCGTAATTAATCGGCGCTTCGCGCAGGCGCTCCGCGCCGCCGACCTGCATGCATTATTCTCGCTGCTTGCATTATTATTATTATTTACCGCTTCTCCGCGTGTTGATGGCGCAGGGTCGGGTGACGGCGCCACTGACGATGAACTACCCGGCAGAAAGTTTAAACTCTCCAGGCTGCGTGATCGTTGCAGCGGCTCGCTATCGCTTGCCGAGCGTTTCCGTCCCTCCGAATCCACGTTCGTGGGGATGGATTCTGTAGATTTTGCGAGCCGCTTGTTCAATTTGGTGTCTCGCAAGTCGAGTATACCGCAGCTGGATGCAGAGCTGGAATTGTTAGCGTTAAGCTCCTCGCTACTCAGACTGACGACGAAGTTATCCCCAGACAAATCGGCACCTATCAGAGAGGACAGGTCATCGTAGGTTTCATACATAGATGAGTCCATGCATTGCGCAGGGGGCTGAAACATGGCCGTGATTTCCTGCTCATGTTGGGCCCTGAGGTGAAGATGGACCAAACTGTCCTCATCTCGGTCAGAGTCAACATAATCCTCGTCCTCATCTTCCTCGGCTAGTATTCCATTCTGCCGAGGATGATACACATAATCCATCTGGTTATTACTGCGGGAATTATACCTCCTAGAGCTATTGGTCGCCATCGTGTTGGCCGATATCAAATCGTAGAGTTCTCGTATGTCTGTGTCTTGTTTACGTCCAATCAGCGAAGACAAATGGGATGATGAGACATTGACATAACCCGATTGCTCCTGGTTGATACCAGACACAGCGGCCGGTATCGTCTGATGCTGGCCGATCCAACCGTCTGATAGCGAGCCTCCTTCTGGCGATGTTCCCTCACGCTGGCCCCCGTTCCTGGCGTTCCAATCATGCCTGGCCGTGATTTGCCGAGGATGATCCCCCGTACCACCGCGGTCACTGATACCACAACTCACTGAATGGTCGCTGATGATGCCGTTACTCGTACCACGTGTATTCGTAATGCCCGTAGAGCAGAGTTTGTCCTGGGGGAGCAGTGAACTACGGAGATAGTTCCCACGATCGTCAATCCTTAATAAACCATCCCCAGTTCCACACCCAAGCAGTTGTACTTCCTTGTCACCTGAACTGAAGTCAGCCTCATCAGTAATATTAGCATCAGGGTCCAGAAAAGGGGGTGTTGTATGGGGCCTGAAAGAGGGCCACTCATTCGAAGAAACTCTGTTCATTTTCCAGCAGTTCCAACTTTATCCATGTCGCGTGGTACACGTACACAGGCTTGCACCGTTTACTGACATCATTTCTTAAGGTCCTCTGAGACGAAATGCCAAGCAAGGTCGCCGGTGATTTATAAGGCATTTGGCCGCTGAAACTGCGTATCCATTGGTACTTCAATACGTACAGTCATTAGCCCACGCGGTTCCGCGATATAAAACACTTTGGTATGTACATGTATTATGCAGTACTCGGTTGGTGTTCAACACAACTTCCATTCAGCTCCTGTGATTGGGGCTGCTGTTTTGTACACACACATCGCCGCGGCTATGAATAGGGGGATGCACTCCAATGAACCCGCTCAGAGGATTTGGATGGTGTTAGCGCACGTTCGTGATTGAAAAGCACTGGCCGGCTCCTGTGGCTTGAGTATACACCAACGAAACCTCTAGTATCAGCGAGCTCTTTGGGACACCAACTGTACACAGTCCAGTTGTTTACTGGTGTATAATGTATGCATACGCATACCAGCAAAACTGTCTACCATGAAGATTGTATACTGTCTATATACACCACGCCACGGTCCCGTTGTATTCTGGTATGTGACGGGTTGGTGTACACTTGTTGCTTTTAATGCGACATCTGCGCGAGCCTTCTCGATGACGTGGGGGATTCGGTGTTTTCAGTGCAAGGGTCATTCGGTGTCGTATTAGGTCCTGGGTCGAGTCATGGAGGTAGGAACATGTGTGGTATGTACAGTACATCCACGTACGTGCGGATTTGCTCAACAGGCACCAGCTTGCAGCGAAGACTGATGTTTATACGTTGGCGATTTGCCACTGTTCTGGCATAATTATTTCTGGCATAATTATTCTACCGAAACCATTCACGTGATGGGCGTAACTCCATACTGATGCCTGTGGCATACGCTGGCCTATGCATACACGATGACTTTTTGTTATAACTAGCATGACTTGAAATGGTTTTCCAGATAATCGGAATAAGTTCTGCCTGTACCACTACCCACCTAAGCCTGTGTCACATTTACTATTCTAATTCTAGTAAAGAATATCGCCGCGTCAATTTTTCCTCTTCAGAAAAACTTTAAAAACAACGCAGAAACGATGTCACAATTTTTTCGAAAGACTTCTTCCGAGAATAACACACACACACTGCTCCAAGTTCCTCCTCGAGTCACGTCGGCATGCCCCGCAGTTACAACGAAGCGCTAGCGTTATAACTGGGCCTTCTCCGTAAACTCAACCACGATTAATAATAAATTGGGCACTCCTGATTTTCGTCGTGCGTGTGTCGCATACAGCGTGCTTAAAAAGGCACACACGCGTGCCGGAAATGCAACGGCACTTTTAAGCCAGTCGGGCTGTGCCAACTAATCAGGCTTGGAAAACCAGATTCTCTGCCACCCCCCCCCCCCCCCACCCGCCTCATCACGTATGCACGTCGGGTTTTCACCCCTAAAGCTAACACATCAATCGTCCCCATGTCTTGACTGCAGAGTACAAAGTGCCTCCATGAACAAGTGTATCTACAAAACCACGTTTGTTATCACCGTGCGCAAAATAAATTTCTGTTTGTCGTACCGCAGTTGTAGACACTAGTTTTACTTCATATGAAATTAATATTGACACAGTGGCACTATACCCTGCCATTTGCATATTCTTTTTCTTCAAATTATATTTCGAGTGTGAAAAATGATGAAGACTAACCTTTAATGTGATCAATTTATTCTGCTGCAAAGGGCAAACAAACACAGAACCTAATCAAAAATGTCAAGAGGGAATACCAAACTGCAAACACATTATTTAAACAACTTGTGGTTAGATAATTAGAAACAGTGAATTCGCACTAATGCTATTTGAGTCAGGAGATATTCCCAACGATCAAAACAGAATCCAACACATCTTCCTTCTTCAGAGAACCTGCTATCCGCAAAGTACCTCTTGGAAGCTAACCACAAAATGTCAGGAAGGTCGACCAAACTCCCAACTCATTATCAATTATTAAAACGGCTGGTCCAGCCGTCTGATGGTGGTTAGATTACGAGAAACCCCGTCTTGTTCTGACTTGTCCAAGAATTAAAGACACCAAGTGACTCATCTTTGTAATCACCAACATCATGCAGTTTCCACTGCACATCATCAGCGTGCCCAGAGGATGCTGTGATGACAGAAGCTTGAAGATTGACAAAATAAGACGGAGAAAAAAAAATAAAAGACGTGCGAACTCGACAGAGTTCGAGCGCCTTTATATTGTCATGCTAATTGAAAGCCGAGGAACGGGGTCGTCTCAATTTCCGGACTCAGAATAAATTAGGATCACATCGTCATTGTCGTAATCATCAAGGAACGAAGGTCAATGAATTGTGCGCTTTATCTGAGGTATAGTCTTGTGCAGTTGGTACGGGTATTCGTGGGGAATTATTTGTGGAAGTTGGAACTTTTAGAGGGCGCTCTATAGTTTAGATGCGACTAAAAAACCATTAATCTACATCCCCAGTTTGGTCAAAATGTACTTCGTTCGCTCGACTAATTTCCCAATTTTTCTCTCTATTCATATGAGTTCGTTGTCGGTAAGTTTTGGATGCCACACTTGCATCATTTTCTGTTCTGTTGGCGAATAGTGCTGACAGTCATTTATTTCTTAGTGTGTAATTGATTCAGTACCAGCGATATATACATGTATCAGATTACAGTTTGGCAAAAGATAAATGCATACCTATTGCATGCTCATACTTACTAGTCACTGTGACCCACTTCACAGAAACTGCGTCTGTGAACATTATAAATGCCAAAATCTAACAGAGTATTTCAGGTAAGTTTGGGTTTGGCCATCTGGCTATGATGGTTACAACTATTTAGGTCTAGTTTGACGTACGGAAGTTTTTTTTAAACAAAGTTTTTGAAAATCAATCAGTCTTCTAATTCACTGTATTTGTCATTAATATGCACTAAGTATTAATTATTTTTTATCGGTCAGTGATGGTAATTTGTTTTAGATGTTGCCTTATAAAAGTTATTGTCCATACCATACAACTCAACGGTCGAAGACTCAGTCATAGACCATTCTATTTTATTTTCAACCACTGTCCGAATTAACTTTGCCCATGTCGGCACACTGCATGCAATTTGCGCGCCAGGATCATTACAACAATCTGCTGCGAGGATGATTTATACTGCCATGATGAACAACAAACAAGAATCCAGTATGATTTTGGGGGGATGTCAGGATTCGCAGGTTCAGCTTTTTTACATTTGATTTTACAATTGAAAAAAAAATGCAATTAAAAACAACACACATTTTTTTAAAAAATAAAATTCAATGACACGACAGCTTTGATGAATCATGAATCCTTTAAATTCCCTTTATCCATTAATGTTCAGAGCGAAAACGGGAAGCCCTCTAGCCGTGACTCCACAGTGGTACTCATTTTGCTCAAAATTATTATGCACAGACACATTATTAATTTCCGAAGAGGGCCAACGAATTCTTAATTTATATCATTTGCCCCGGGATAGGTTTAAAAGGCTTATGAAAGGTCCATACTACAGCTCGTATAACCCCTGGAGTCTTTATGAGCATTAGACAAAATTAAAACGAGTGCGAGGTTGTAGAGCCTTCATGATTTTTCCATTCATCGGAATACCCAGGAGGTACATTTTCTCTTCTATTTTTTTTTACTGGATTATGAATTGCCAGAAATCCCTCTCAAGAATTAATTACGATTATGACAGGGTACTGTTAGGGGCCTATAGAATTTGTGGACGAAACATATTTAGCCTCATCATCTCGACTGAACGAAGGAAATTAAACGAAAAAGCCTAAGTAATGCTAGCGACGGACAAAAAAGGCCGTGAACCCTTTGTTCCATCCTTCACTACCCGAGCCGGATCTGTATTTATACCAATAGCAGCGGCGTAACTATAGGGTTAAGCTGCTAGGGGCACCTGGGGTGCACCAATTTTTAAAGAGGGCACTGAGGGCAACATTGTTTATGTGCAATTTAAAATTTCAAGGGGGAACCAGGGGGCACGAACCCCGCTGGGGGGGCACATGCCCCCCCCCCCCCGCCCCCCTCCCCCTCCCCCCCTCAGGCGCGCGTACATGCTTAGAACATACTTTTGAAGACCAAACAGAAACCAGACGACAAGTCAAGTATTTCATACATTTTTGGGTTCTTCAATATACATCATTCATTCGTCTATAAATCCTTGGCATTGACAGAGATCTTTTTAAACAAACAAATGGAATTAATTCAGTCCAGCAGTCTTGACACGTCTTCTCGATCATCAAGCCAAACTGTTTAGCGCCCTCTACTTTCCAAGCGCTTTTTTTATGAACCTCTTAGCTTTCTAAAAAATAATAATGATACATTAAGCCATTGCATAAAGCAAATTGTCTACAAGGAAATACTAATAATGTTTGTTGAATTTATTTATAAAAGGCAAAAGTATTTTTTTTAAACATAAAAACGAATATAGTAAATTTATCATACTTAAACTTGTGATGAATATTACTACGTTTACATACAAATCGACAAATTAACAGAGAGTTAGGGGGTGAAGCAAGGTCAGGTCAAATTAAGTTGCAGTCACTTACTTGCAAAATGGCTCTCGCTAGGGTGTCCACAATTCGTCTTTTTCGGCCGATCGCGGCAATGTGGTAAGACCCTAGATGAAAATAACACAACTTTGAATTAAGTTGTCATTGTGTGATGAATAAAAAACTAAATATTTCAAATAGAGGTAGGGAAAATGATGTACAATCGGCGAAGTTTGCATTGCGTATTGCATAGATTTTTGCGTTAACCAGTAATGTTATGGAAACATCGCAACTAGTTTGTGTAGCTTTAGCCCCATAAATGTGGCTTAAATACTGGATTACCTCCGTATTACAACCGTGTTACAACTGATATACCAAAATTAGTGGAAAGATCCGTTGCAAATGCTAGGGTAGCAGAAAAACAAAATCAGAACTATTTTGTCACAGTATACTATAATTAATATCACCAAAACCAATACAGAACGCCTTAAAGTTTTAGTTTTAGCAACAAAAAAAAACACCCCAAAACAAACACCAATTCCATGCCTTCAGAGATCAAGTTATCCCGTAATTTTGGGCAAAAGTCAGACGGATTTCGGGCAGAAATAACGTAGCGTCCATGTTATACAGTTCAGTATTGGTAAGAGGCCAAGGCGTATAAATTAACGTGTACGGTGAAGCAAATTGTCAGCTAGACAACTTACAAAGCATGCAAAGCAAATAAGCCTACCTTGAACTTAAATAATAAATGAACTTGCCATGGGCATTCTTCTGATTAATTGGCAGCTTGTGAATCATATTCATAAATTACGTATATTTTTACATTTCATTACAATTGCAGTCAACTGCAGCGTGGTTATGCAGGTGAACATGGCTCCGGTGTTGGCAAGGTAAGACAATCTAGTAGATTTATTCAGTTATGTGCTAGGCCGATTTAAACAAACTACGATTAAAACCGGCCAAACAATATATTTAAGAGTTTCTGGCATATGTTATGGTTAAAAAGTAAAACAGACAGGTTCAACAAACAACGTCATATCTGAGGAATTTGTAATTTCAGTCAGTCAAAAATGCACGCCTAATTTGTTATGTAGGGTGGAGGAGCGGGTGGTACTATCCGTGACGCCGGTGGAGCTTTTGGAAAGATGGAAGCTGCACATGAGGAGCAGTTCTTCAGACAGCTGGTAAGCTTTCACCTTGTAAGGGCCAATTATACAGAAGTGGAGTAACAGAAATCAAAAATGAAATGCGGGGCATCCTCCGGTAGGAGACATTAACATTCGGGGAGGAAACCACGCAATGTTTTCAAATTATGAAAGTTTTACTTTGCAGTGTCATAGCCATGCTCCAAAAACGACCATGCATTGGTTGGTCAGAATGCAGATATTGAGCATTTGAGAAAGAATCTTCTCATCACCCACTAAGCTACAAAGTGCTGAAGGTGTTTTGGCAGGCTGTCACCACGTTATGGGGAAGTTTTTTATTGTTAGGGAAATTAGGACCAAGTTATGGGGACTTTCTGCTGTCCCCACAGCGTCTTTGATCCCCATAGTACCATGGACAACTCGTGTGTAGTCCCTACAGTTAAAGAACAGGTATGGGTGGACGTGTTCATCTATTCAAATCGTGGACGAAAAATACCAGAGAACAAAAGAGAACAATATTGTCCACGATTCCCAGCATACGTCCGCGATTGGGGTCGTGTACAAAACCTATGGGAGTCTTCCTAAAAAGTTAAGTACAAACAAAAGAGGGACAATAGGACGTCCACGATTGACGGTGAACACACGTTTGGGTGGGTATGTGTATCTCTGTGTGCGTTCAGGCGTTGTTCGTGAGTTGATTGTTCTTGAGTTCATCGCCCGCAAAGCAGGCGATGAGGCAAAGCCGCCTAGTATGCCAGGCAGGCAAGGAGAAGCCTCGCGTTTCTAAAACTGAAAATTAAAACAAAAATCACTCATTTCTATTTTAAGCTTTGTCCAGGAGTGTTTAGTTTTGACAGAAAAGGTCATTTCTAAAATCAGCTTCTAAACAAACAAGCAAACAAACAACTTGTGGTTGTAAGTGATGCATATTCCCATCACTCCACAGAACATTACAGATGATCCTCATTACTACAGATGCTTATCCACTATCAACTCAAGTCTCTTCACTTGCTCCCCATCACCGATTGCCGATTGCCTTTAGGCCAAAAAAAAAGTCTCCGGTTTCTGGTATGGAGCTTGCCCAAAAAGTGGTGCAGCGACGCGGTTTTTTTTTTTTTTACCTGACTTTTTTGCTTCAAATGTCGGCTGATAACTGCAAATGGTGCACGACTAAACTTAGTGCAAAATGTACGGGAGTCCAGAGAGTCCACATAAAGCTTATTCTCGATCATACCCCCATCTAAAAACACGTTTAAACTGTGCTGCAGCAGAATTCCAGTCAAACCAGTGAATTTGGCGGTTTTGAGACATCATCTTTTATTGAAAAAAAAACTTTTTCATTTTGCCGACGCGCATGGCTACGGCGACGCGCGCGCATACCAGAAACCGGAGACTTTTTTTTTTTGGCCTTAAGGTTCTCCTTCATGTATTTCATTCACTACAAGGCACTTCACCTGGTTATATCAATGACTTAATAACACTGTACCAGCTAACTTGAAATCACCGATCAGGAGAACTACACCAATTGACTATCCCTCGTATCAATCACTCGTGGGGTCAAGGGTCTTTCGCTCATGCTGCCCCGAATCTTTGGAACAATCTCCCACTTGAACTACGCTAAATGAAATCCCTGTCTACATTCAAATCTAACCTCAAAACCCATTTGTTATTCCACCGTTTTTGTACTTAACATTTTTCTTTATATTTATGCGCGATGAGCGTCATGCTTGGTGGATACCGGCACTTTATTATTATGTTTCTAATTTTGTTATTATGTTTCTAATGAATAAAATACAACTTTTCTTTTCCTTTCCAACCACAGCAAGCAGAGCAGCTAAAAGCCCTCAAGAAACACCACGACGAGGAGATTGAGGCCCACGAGCGGGAAATAAACCGCCACAGCGAGGAAATCCAACGGCTAAAAAAGCGTCGGAAGGAGATCGACGCTTCACGGGGAGAGGGTTCCAGTAGCGATAGCGATTAGATACTGTTGTGATTCAAGCTTGCTGTGAATTTCTTTAACGGCACCATTCAATGTGCCATTTTCATCACAGTTTGGTTGCAAAAATTTCAACTTTAAAACTACTGATCATTTCACCCTAGTTATTTGTGCATGAAACACATCATATCACATCATATCAAGTTTGAAAGTTCCTTTCATAAACAAGATTTGTAACGCTAAGGTAAACTGAAAATTGTGAATTTCATTTTCAACTTTCTATTCAAAAAAGCTCCTTTTTCAACGTTTGTGAGGCAAAGCCTCTGAAAAGATAATAAATTTTGTTTTCAAATAATACAACTTAAAAATATTATTGTGATTTTCATAGAGTTGCATGTACATGTATAGTAATTGAAGCATTTGGTGTTTATACAGTATTTGGAGAACTGAAGCTCTTAACGTTAATGAACATACATGTAATCATAAACTTTAATTGTGTGGTTGTTTTTTTAATGGAATTCAAATACAGAACATACTATGAAGTAGAATATGCAATCTAACTTATTTGTTACTTGAAAAACAAACAATTGAGTTGATGGGCCTATGGACTTAGTACACAGGAACCCCTGTTACAATAATCCAGTACGGTTTTCCAACTGTGCATGTGCACATTAAGATTGGACAATTTTTCTTTCGGGATAAGCTTTCCTCGTATGCGTGCAAAAGCCCTCCCAACACCTTCAGTTTTGATAAGACCATCTTTTACGAGCACCAAGTTCATGTACTACCCGTAAATGCAGACCACTACAGACACACGCTTAAAACAGTGCACACATTCTCAAATTTGTATCCTTGTGGAGACATTTCTTTGCTCTCGTGTAGTAAAGTTTTCGAGTTTGAAAGTGAAGTTTCAAAATGCTCTTATTTCAACCAGAATTAATTTCCTTGGCTAAAATTCGGACTTAATATCCCTTTTCTAAAACTCTTCCATTTGCGACAGATCAACCCACCTTGGAATTCCTAGTTTTTGAGTAAAATCCATATATCTTTTTCGTGAAAACCTTGTGGAGACCTATTCATCTATAGAAATTATTACCCTGTGGAGACCTTTGCAATCTTTTGTTCCCTATTGTGGAAATGTCTCTACAAGGATACATATCGGAGCTCACACATGCACTGTGTCTCTATCACTGGAGCTGTCAAAAGTTTATGCCTATATCCCAATACTGCACAAAAAATAGAACATCTTTAATATTTGTGTACTGATATCTTGTCGATTGTAAAGATTGAAGCGCGCCCTCATTTGATGCCAGTGGAGTGGGCATTGTTGGTGTTTGTTCGTTAGTGTGATTTTGGCAAAGCCATGGAATGTTTAATAAAAAGATTTAGTTACGGAACATGTGAATCGTTTCAAATTGTGTTCCATGCAGTTTCTGTCACTGGTTTTGTTCAGTTGCTATTCCTGGGCTCCAATTTGCATGGGGGAACTTGGGGGCCTCATATTCCGGAGGGGGGGGGGTGTTACTAATAAAAAGCTCAGTAATTGTTTGCTTTTCCCTAATTCTGAGGGGGGGGGGTAACCTTCCTTTAGTTTCACCACTATATGTGTCGCCTACATGATATCTTCCATTTTTGGGGAAGGGGCAGTTTGCACACCGAAGTACATTTCTCATGAATTTCTTGCAGATTTTTGTGGACAACGATGAAAAAAGGCGTTTAAAAGATGATGTTATCTTCCCCAAAGAACATTAAACCAAGAAGGAGGGGCAAAAAATGTGCCCCCCCCCCCAAAAAAAAAAAAGATTGAGGCCTTCATCTTCATTTTTAAGTTTTGACTGAAATTTATCCTGAAGGGGCAACATGTAGACTGACCAGCATTATAAAGGAACAATATCTAGTTTATACATTTCCCTATAAAAATGTTCTGCCAATTCAATCACTAATAAGTCTTGGGTTTATGCAAAAACGTGTACTGATTAGATGTTATGCCCGCTGACTCTTCCTCTTCCATCAGAAACTTTCGGTATAGACACACCCACATAATGACTGTTATTGTTTTCTGTCATGAATTAGACAAGCAAATAATTCAAAAAGAAAACCTATTGCCAGTGAGAGAACAAAAGGCTGCTTTGAACGACCAGATGTTTCGCAGCGAGTTAAAATTACCTAGATATGTCACTAGATAGAGCAGGCGTTTATTTAGCATAGATTATTTAAAAGGATTAATACATGTGCATGTCGTATATTGCTGATGCTGATGTTTTGTGCGCATTCTGCAGTCGATGTACATGTACATCGTTGCCAAAATTCTCTTACCGCACGTTTATGATATTGCCATTCCAAAAACACGGCACAAAAGTTGTGTCCGTTAGTTTTCTGCCGAGGAAAATCTGGAACAGTAGTGTTACGAAATTTCTCAATTTCTAATCGTTGCCAACGAAAATTCCTTCACGGATAATTACACGGAATTAAGTCAGAACAAACCCAATAATTATGAACTTGTAAACGCCGCAAAAAAACACCAACAAATTAACGGGTAAACGGGGGTTCCTGGAAACTTTCTTAACAAAGCGACATGCGGTACTGTGTCAGTAACTTTTAGAAAGCATTCAAAATCTGAACTTGGTACTCACTCAACATGTTCAAGCGATGAAAAAATCTTCATGGTGTCACTTTCCCGAATATATTTTGAAAACAACATCCTCTGCTGCTCCAGTGCGGTACTGTCCTCCAAACTTCACACCCACTACAAAATTTCAGTGGCAAGTTTTCCCCATAATAGGCCGAAGTACGTGGAGAGGTTACAGTGACGAAAATAAAAATGGCGAATATGAAAAACTACATCGCTATAATCGCTGGGTGCGCGCCTGCAAATAAATTCCCATAGACACTAGTGCTAAATGTCCATACTTCAAAATTCATTTAAAAATACTCAGAACTCTCACAGGTATTCAAGCTGCACAGAAAAATGATGATCAACATGTCATCTTTCATTTTCTTTTCAATTTTGGGTGGGTTGACCATTGACTTTTTGAGATATTCTCACCCAAATAAGAACACCCCTAAAACGAATGATGTTTCCCGAACTGGAAAAGTAGCCATTTTGAAAAAGAATCCCTCCACAACATGGCTAAATAGCGCCACTTTCGGGCCAGATTGCATCCAAAATGCTCAGAATTGGAAGCTCCAAGTCCAGGCCAGAGGTTCAGTGCCACATGTCTTCAATTCCCCAATTCCATGGTTCTCAGAACTCTCTAATATAGAATATTTTGAGGGTATAACTTTTATTTATGAGCTCGGCGGACGGATTTTTGGTCTATTTACAGGCGTGCACCCTTTAATAGCAGGCAACTCTCAAATTTTAACACAAAACCACATTCAGGAGAAGTAGAATATCTTCAGAGTCATTATTTTGAAAAAAAAAATGAAAAATATTGCCCCTCGGAGAAACCACAGGGGCTAATGTGTAGGGTGTGGCTATGGTGTTTTCTACTGTTTTGAATAGGAAAATACAGCTTGTGTGCATGCAATATGCACATGGAAGTTGTTTTTTCTATCCTTCTCACTTCAAATTTTGCCACATATTCCTTTCTTTTACATTTGCAATGTGTGTGAACTATTTTCTTGGTTCATCTGGGGTCACTTTGTGGTGGCCATAACCACTTTAGGGGCGGATCAAGGGTGAAAAGAAGGGGGGGGGTAAATTAATTTCAGCACAGCTTTAACATTTTGTATATGCAAATGTACAGGGTGCCCTGTATTTTAATGGTGGCATGTAACATAAGCAACATTACAACAGTAGTATTTTGGTCATTTCTTAAATTATTGCAAGCAATGAACACCCTTGGAAGATCAAAAACTGTACACAATGGGCCTTGATGTTGTGCACTAATCCCTGGCTGTGGCTGCCTTTTATTCTCTGAAAGTACATACTGAAGATTTATTATATGACCCTATTTATGACTCCCTGGCCCTGTCCCCATCACAGCCCAGCCTCTTTAGTACTAGCTGGGCTAATTACTGTCTCCAAAGATTCCATTGTAAAACACCTATCTTCCATCCCCCACCCCCCCCCCCCCCCCCCCCCCCCCCCCCCCCCCCCCCATAAAATAACAACAGAAATAAACTCTCTGTACAGACTGGCTTCTGAATTATTAACCAAACTTGTGCTGTATAGTCATCACTCTGGCATTGAGAGTTAGTGTGACCACATGCATTCTGTCACATGCTCACACAGGGGAAAAACAATCTCAATTTTGCAAAACCAGCTATTTCTGCAGCAGTTTCAGTATGGGTCGATTGGGACGAGCAGTGTACAAAAGGAAGAAAAGCTGGTTCCAGAATGGCCATAAACTATTCCCTGCAAAGTGTAAATCCCCAATCAGTCATTTTCAGATGAACTCACCAACAGTGTACACAAGGCCAACACAACAGCAGATGCAACTTGCTGTTGAAAGAGATGAGCGGGGGTTCATCTGTACCACGCCCAATGCAGTGCCGACAAGGAAAGTCATGCTGCTTCGACCAAACGCTGCTGAAACTACTCCCCTTGACAAACTCCAACTCAATAAGGAAGCAGTACCACAGCCCCTCTGTAGAAGAGAACTCCAGCACCAGAGCCCAGCTGATCAGTCAGATGGAGGGAAGCGAGCAGCCTACCGGTTCGTCGACATCAATTCTGCAGTCGACTTGGGAGCGCAGGCTATCCTAGATCACCAACGCACACATCCTGATTGCAGCGGCCGGCCCACATTGATGCCAGATGCTGAGGAGCGACGAGGTTTGGCTGTGTCCGAGGTACTGTCCTGCCAAAAGTGTGGGTTCTGCACTGACAAGACAAAACTGTTCACCGAAATTCCACAGACGGGGAGAGGACGACGGACTGCCACTCCCAACATGGCGTTCCAGGTTGGTCTTTACAACACCGGCATTGCAGCTGCTGGGGCTAGGCGGCTGTTGTCTGCAATGGACACAACTGTTCCCTCGATAAGTAGCCTGCAAAGTACATCAAACAAATGTGGTGAAATTATCACCACAGAAAATGAAACGGACATGTGCAACAAGAGAAAAATCGTGAAAGACATTCATGAACTGCAGGGTTACGAGAGACACAGCGCAATTGCAGTGGAAACTGACAGACAATATAATAATCCCCTTCGAAACTGTCGCAAGAAAACACCCTTCGTCGCAGCCACCCAGACAAGAGATGTTGTCGTTGAAAATGTGACAACCAGCAAGTATGTTGTCATGTACCACCAGGAGAACAAACTTTGCAAAAAATGTGACATTGACGGAGCGAGGGATCACAAGCACGCAGGGAAATGCACGGCCACTCGTCCACCGAACTTCAATATGGGAGATGAGCGCAACGGGGGCATTCAGTGCGCCCAAAAACTTTTAAACTGTAAAGAACCTTTGTTTGTAAATAGGGTGACAACAGATGCCGACGGTTGTCTGGCACGGGGTATGAGATCATATATGCAAAGTAAGGTGGCAGGTATGGAAACTGAACATTCGTTAGATCCGCCTCATTTAAACCGATCACTCTGTGCGGCCATAAGTCGTGCAAAATTCAGTAAAGAGATGTTTCCAGGCAAAAATAAAAGAGCAAAGAAAAACATTCAAGATCGATTTGCCGATGACGTCAGCCACAGGGCACAGGCCGAGGCTGCTGCTATACTGAAAAAAAGCGGTGGGAACTCTTCCCAAATGACGACCATGGCTAGAAATGCAGCAAGTGCCATTGTTCAATGTTACATGGGGAATCACGGCCTTTGCAAAAAGTGGTCCCAAATTTGTATGGGTGGTAAATATCGGTTTCCATACCTGCCAGTCGATGCCCGTGGCAAACTGAAATTAGCAACTTGTGATGAACAGACTCTCATCAAACTCCTAGGCAAACGACTTGGCCAAGAAGCCCTTGAAAAAACTAAATATGGCACCAGTACTCAAAAAGCAGAATCAATGAACCATGCCTTTGCAGTAACCAACCCTAAGGCCACACTAACCTTCTCAAGAAATGGTTCTTGTCGAGACCATAGCGCAGTGCACTTGGTGAATAACAGACACGCCAATTCAATAGTCAAAAAGTGCGCAGCTGCTGGTTGCCCAGTAACTGCAGGCTCCCCAGCTGCAAAAGCCCTTGCTGAAATGGATAAGAAACAAAAACAGTATGTTAAACGTGCTAAAGGTCAGGAGTACAAAACACGCAGAGCACAATTGCGTTCTCAAAGATTCCAGCTGTATTATGCCACACGGCCACTGTATAAACGTGGCCAACTGGATCCTAAGCCAGACGATGGTTTGAAAAATGTCTGCCACATCATCCAATCTGAACACAATTACTGCAAACGTTTTTAAATTATGTTTTTGGAATGTAACTGACAAATTTATTGTTCATTACGATACCTTAAAGCAGGCACTCCCGGTACCCATCGTGCCCTTGGCACTGCTTGAGTCGTTTGCAGACTTTCTGCTATTATTTACAGCCCTAGGTTCAAGGGACAAATGCTCGAAACAAACGCACAATGAATTCTGGCACAGGTGACTTACATCCCACTCCCGTGGCAAATTTACATTTCCGGTGTGTGCCATGTAAGCCGCCCTGTGCACAGACTTCAGAGTGCGTTTGTTCGAGCCTGGCATTTTCATTGAAATGATGCCATAGGATTTTTTTATGCATCCCCGCCAAAGCCGGCATCCTTTTGAAGGCTGAAATCTGCTCTTTTTTGCAATCGCCCATTTAATTCTGGCGCACCACGACTCCATGTCGGCCATTTTGTCTCAGTGTTTTTCAGGAGCCCAGAAATCCATTGGCTAAAAGTTTTTTACCTTGGATGTGAATGTCCACCCTTCACCATCCATTTTATTACAAGTCAAAATTTGATTTGTACAAGCTCAAACAAGTACAAACAATATTATTCACTTATTTTTGTCTGAATAAAGAAAGAACTGTGCCTTCTCTGTGTTCGATTTCAATAATAACCAATTAAAATACCCCGAAATGGAAACAAAATAAGAACATGCACAGACTGGGGTGAATGACTCATTGTTTACATTTTTTTAACGGTTCACTTACATGTAAATGCTAACTTCCACAGTGTGTTTTGAATAAAAACCTGAAAAATCAAAGATACAGAGTGTAAAATGTTTGTTTTCATATTTATTTTAACTCAATTTAAGCTTATTTTGTACTTACAGCAATAAAAAGCACACGTTGAAATCCCCCGTCATAACAACATGGCCGCCACCACTCAGGATCTATAGGGTGCGCGCCTGCAAATAAATTCCCATAGACACTAGTGCTAAATGTCCATACTTCAAAATTCATTTAAAAATACTCAGAACTCTCACAGGTATTCAAGCTGCACAGAAAAATGATGATCAACATGTCATCTTTCATTTTCTTTTCAATTTTGGGTGGGTTGACCATTGACTTTTTGAGATATTCTCACCCAAATAAGAACACCCCTAAAACGAATGATGTTTCCCGAACTGGAAAAGTAGCCATTTTGAAAAAGAATCCCTCCACAACATGGCTAAATAGCGCCACTTTCGGGCCAGATTGCATCCAAAATGCTCAGAATTGGAAGCTCCAAGTCCAGGCCAGAGGTTCAGTGCCACATGTCTTCAATTCCCCAATTCCATGGTTCTCAGAACTCTCTAATATAGAATATTTTGAGGGTATAACTTTTATTTATGAGCTCGGCGGACGGATTTTTGGTCTATTTACAGGCGTGCACCCCGCTGCACGCAGTGTGCATTGTGCGCAACAGGCATTCCATGGCACAGCCGAATACAATGTTGGCTGACAGCAGTCATTTGCATAACAAAAGAAAGTTTCGTCCAATGGGAGCGCTTGCACCTGGAACAGCAAAGTTGTTCGATTACTTGGCGCGCACAATAGTGAAAATATCGTCTGCATGCTAACAATCTCAAGCAAGTCTATGGCCATCAAACATGGAATAGTAAAGGTTTTTTTTCTTTAACTTCCGTGTCTCCATTGTTGTAAGTTTTGCAAGGAGAGGGTTTTGGTAAACCAAAGGCTCATATACAGAACCAAATTTTCGAGGGGGGGGGGGGGGGGGGGGGGGGGATGCTGGGGCAAGAGGGCTCGAGTATTTTTTTTCAAAAAGGGGAAGGGGACTAAGTATATAGTACCGTGCGCTATTTCCACATTGTAATATTAAAACTAAAATGTATGTGTAGCCAATGGCTTGCCAGGGAGATACACACCATTTCATTTTATTTTTGAAAACTTAAGACAAAAATGTGTCTTCACTCCTCCAATTAATAAAAAATCATGGGAGGGGTGGCCCCCGTTGCCCCGCCCCTCTCCCCGTTCCGCCAATTGGGTAAACCAAGTTGTGAGGTACCGTTCATAACTGACCATATTATTAACCGTCATCTTAGATAATTTATTACATTTTTAAAAATTCTAATCAAGCAAACTAAATATAATGGAGGATATTGACATCAATCGTTATTTTTTCTCGGAATTTATTCAATTTATTAAGCTGATATTCAAATTTTATACACTTGGCTTCATGTATACAAATATACAGAGACGTTAATAATACTACATCTGCTGCACTCTTCAATATCAACATGTACCAAAGACAAATATTGGAGACAAGTCCAGTCATACATTGTCGAAATACCAGCAGAAAATGGATTTCAAATGTTGTTAGAGATGGGATGGTACAACAAAGAGGGCGTAATGCAAAACAAAATGCTCAAAGTAAAACACGAGAAAGAAAGAAAACAAAGTTGGCAATACTGAATCCAATAAACGATACCAATTTGCTAGTTGACAATAGATGTTTATATAGAGTAGTTCATATATCCCTGTGGTTAAAGTAGCTCGTCCGTCGGTCACTCGTCCGTGCGTTTGTCGGTTCAAAACCGTCAGTCGCTGAAACTTTGATTCCTTCAGAAATATCTAACGTCTTCCATCAATACCCAAGTAGCAGGTAGGACGCTTCTTGCCGTACTCGTTTTCCCCCCCAAAAAGTTGAGATTCTCTCCTAGATCCTGCAGTACTCGGAACTTTTCTATAAAAAAAAGGCGAGGTTTCGAGGGAAAGCCAGCGAGTGAAAAAAAAGTTTTTGAGTCTTTGTCACTGGTGCTGTATCGTTGTCTTATGTCACAGTCTCCGTCATGTCATCTTCGCTTTGTCTGCGTGTTACTAAGTTGTCATTCCCTTTATTTTCTCCGTCCGTCCGTTTGTTGGTCAGTTTGTTTTTGTACAGTCCATCGGTATGATATGGATTTAATGGGGCAGGCAAATGAAGCACTTTTGTATAGGTTGCATATTAAGGCGATTTGCATTTAAAATGTCGTAATGCAACTGATAAGGTCGTATAAAAGGTCTTGTCAGTATTTGTTTTTGTAAATGTAGTTCCGAGTAAGTTTATCTGCTCACCAACATAATAAAACATTCAGTTGACGCCAAAGTTAAACAAAAAAAAGTACTTGAAAAGTTGAACAAAGAAATTGACAGGAATGGGGCTTGAACCTACGACCTCCGGATAATACCAGTTCCAGTGCTGTACTAACTGAGGTATCAAGCCATATGTTGGCGGTTCCCTAATTCGTCATTATCTTTGCTAGATCCCTTTGTGGTTCATCTAAAAAAGGACTTGTTAGGTTTCGATCTTTCCCTTTCATTTTTATCGATGCAGTTTTGTGTTTTGGTAAAAAAAAAAATTGGCTTCTATTTCGAAAGAGACAAGAACATGTTTATGAGTGAAGACCATGAGAAAAATCAACACAAGTAATTCCAATACCCGAAATAATATTAATTATATTAAAATATGAGTTGAAAAATAAAGTTTTTCTGTACATTATGAATACTTCTGTACAGGTTTCTAAAACGTAAAACACATATGAAAATAATAAATTCAAATGATTACATGAATATGTAGATGATACCACTATAACGAAGCCCAATATGCAAATGCACCATGAATATGCATGTTACATGAAGCCGGTACTATTTATATGCAAATGATATATAAACATAATTATTTTCGTAAAATGAATTTAAACATACCGGAATAGCATTGGAAGAAACAATAATTTCCAAAACCGAAAATGATAATCTCAAAATCGACAAGAAAGAAAGAATAAAAATTCATATACTGTACACTTTTTAAAGTTTTTTTTGTGCATTGAAAATCCCGTCAGGAACAAGTTCGTCAATAAATGTTTTTTGAAGATTCGTGTCTTATGATGGTGCGGTTTTAATAAAGTTGTCTAGTTCAGGGTCAGTTTTAAAAAAACATAGATATTGTCATCAAAAAAAGTGGTTGAGTAATCTTCTGATGCAGCACAGAGTAGCCCCCTACGGCGTCAAAGAAGAACTCACTACTTTCAAAGAATTCTGCAAGAATTCCATAATTCTAAAAGCAGCATGATACATACCCAAACCATGTAACATTCCCGAATAAAAATGCTTTAATTATGATTAGCTACAAGGATAAAAATGAGTTACTTCAGCATGAATTAATCAACAATGGTATAAAAACAAATAGGTAATGTACAGTGGGGATAAGTGAACTAGTGGATTAAATAAATAAAAAAGAACATTTCCCATGTTCTATCAAAATAAGGAAAAGGAAGAAGGGGTTATTTTTGAGAGGAAAAAGTACCAATATTTCTGTGCAGTAATAAAAAAACATTTGAACGAGGTAATAAACAAATCCACTTTAATAGACTGAATCTGATACATTATTTATATCTTTACTGAAATGAGCAATGTAAGTCAAAAAGTGTGGATGAAAATTTAAGACCAAGTAAATTAAAATGAATCTCTCGAGAAAAAGGGGAAAAACTGAGTTGTTACTTGAGCTTTTAGGTTACCTCATACATATTCATGATCTAGCATCACCCCCTCATTGGTTAAACCACCATGATGTCACCACAAAAATGGACTTCTATAGAGTAGCAAACAAAACACTTCTGGTTATGTATGACAATCAGTAAGATTTTAGCGTTGTCTGAGCAAGTCAGTCCTGGGTCCATTAAAAGTCAAGTCGTAAGTAACAGGGGACAAATGACAAAAGAATGCCTTTGTTAAAGTACAGTTGAATAACTTGTCACCTGACTTGTCACCTGACCTGACACCTGACCTGTCACCTGACCTGTCACCTGACCTGTCACCTGACCTGTCACCTGGCTTGCAATGGCTTGTGACAGCTTATGACGATTTATGATTACAAATTGCTCTTTGATTCCTGCTGGCAAGCCAAAAATGGGATTTTGAATACAATGGAATGTATCAATCAAACGTGAATCTTTGAGAAATTGGGGCATAATATTAAATGCAGGGATGTTCAAAGTGGACTCTGGCATTTTTGCCTGAAAATTTGAGATATAAAGCTAGGAAAAGTATGCACACGCGTATGGTGCCAATTATGTTGTCGGTCACATCACGGAGTGACGCATTGTGTACACAAAATCCATCGATGATCCGTCACTTCGTGGTGCAACCAATGATTGTTATTCACAATTTGAATAAAAAGCCTGAAATTAGGCAACTGTAGGAGGGTGCACATCCCTGAAGATTTTAAAAATAAAAACTGTAAACAACAAAAATGAATAATTAACTTTGAGCAAAAGACGCAGGACTGGTTCCCTCGGGATTGCAACCTGAAAAATTGACTTGACCGATTTTAGAAAATTACTTACACCTCAGAAAATTTAAATTGTCTATCCCTAAATCATTTTGTATTGTCTTTGACCACACCCCTTTTTATCCTTGCATTATGCCTATTCTAGCTTAGTCACACAATTACCAATTTACCTAAACTTTGGCAAAAAGCTTTTCTTGTACGTCAGTCAGAGAATGTTATCAGAACACACACCATTCAACAATTTCTGAAAAATTCTGAAGAGATTTATACTACTAAATAATAACAGTAAATAGTTGGTCACGAAATAACAACACAAGTATTGGTCATCTTTTCAACCGTTGCCAAATTTCTGTATACTTGAAAGTAATACTCTCCGAAGATCTTATTGTATCTCATAAACACACCATACGCAAAAAGTAAAAATATGAAATACCTTGGCACCTTTTTTAAAAATCTGTATACTGTTCTTACTAGAAGAAAATTTCATTACGTCAAAATAAAAACAAAAGCACTACTGTACAATGTCATATTTTTTTGTAACAATATTAGCTTGTATGCACATTATTATCACATACTTTGTGTATATTTTAATCAGCCATTTGAGTTTTTGCTTCAAAAGCAAGAGTTGGTATTCGTGAGTTGTATTAAAGTATTTCTACAAAATCTAGCTTTACCAATAAAGGCAAATCCACCATAACTGGTTACTCAGTGTGCTCGCTTCACGTGGTAGCTAAACTCGGGAGAGACTTAGCTAGCAGGTGAAACAATTAATCAGGACAACACAAAAATGTCAGCACCGGTATATGGCAGAAATGCCTGCACACACTTGGGTAGCCATATTCTCATCAGTAGCAGGTCTGGAATTTCAGGGCATGGGTCTATTTCAGAACAGGGAGTGGAGGTAAGTTGACTTCCTTCGTTGGAAGTGCAGCCTCAAATGTACGAGTATAAATTAAACACCCTGCCAGAAACACCGGGGCAAACCCCTTCTCTTTGGGACAAGTGTTACCGGGTTCTTTAACGTGTATTACACAACACACAGGACCTATGGTTTTACATTCCATCCGAAGGATAAGGCAATAACGATTAAGTGTCTTGCTTAAGGACACAAGTGTCAAAACCAAGACTCAAACCCACACTCTGCTGATCAGAAACACCAGAGTTTTGCTAATGCCCAAGACCTTTTAAGAAGACGAAGTTTAGAAGATAAGGTGGAGATTCGTGTATGCGGATTTGAACTCTGACGGAAACATGGGCTTGTGTTCTTGGGCAAGGCCCTTTACTACAACCGCCTCTCTCCACTTAAGATCTGAGGCTGCTGCAGGGAACTAGTCGCATGGCCTGATGAACAGGGCTAATACTTGTGAAATGTGTTGTAGTCCAGCCCATCACAAGTCCTTTGACAAGTCCAGTCACAAGTCCTTTGATAAGTCCAGTCACAAGTAATGGGATGAACAACAACTTTGTAACAATTCGCTTTGAATAGCTCGTGACTTGACTTGAGACTGAAAGACTTATGACGGACTTTTGATGGACTTGCAGGGACTTGGAAGAACTTGTGAACTCGACTCGACACTGAATGTGAAGCCCTTTGAGACCTTCATATAAAGGCCAATATAAACCCAAGAACCACATTGTAAACAGTCATTTTGAAATCATTGCAGTCATTGGTCACCATGTACATTTGACGGCAATTGTCTCCTCTTTCGCAACATAATCATTCTTGTGACTCTTTCATGCATGCCAATACCGAGGAACTATCATAACAGGCAATGGAATTCCTCTACATGACGTGATGTGTTCTTGGGGTTGTTTGTATATTCTAGATGGTAAATTTGGACTGCCCTCTATCAAAAAAAGCGAGCTGCTACTCATGCAAATATGTCCATGCACTCTGTCCTTAAGACTTGCAGTTGTACCACAATTTACTACATGCTTTTATTTCTCAGGCTTTTCATTCCTCAGTTCTTCTAACTTCAAAGTTAAAACGGCGGTGCATTACTTTCTAAAAAAGCACCGACCCTGAAAACTACGTTACTCAATTGTGCTTCAGTTCTTTTGTTTTACAAAAGTCACTGAGAATAAACAGGAAAGACCATGGCAGGTTTTTTTTTTTTTTAATGTTCCAGCAGCGAAAGCACAAACAAATTTCAGTGCACAGTCCTGGAATTTAACAATTTGCTGTACGCTTACAGTGCTTGAGTTATAGAAAAAGTGGTTTCAAAACGGATTTCAATTTTGTTGTCAAGATTAGTTCCTGGGTGAACGGCGAAAGCTTCGTCAAAAAGTGTTGCAATGCACTCATCCACATTTTTTTGCAGAGGGATCAGAACCCTAAAAAGATCTTCGTATTTAATCGACGTTTCTTCAAAAACTTCCCCATTTGCTGAAGCCCCTCTCCCAACCTCTAAAAGTTGAGGTCAAAATTCTGCTTTCTGTCCAGTTTCCTTAATTGCCTTATATTTTTTTGTACCAAAGTTGTGTGGCACCAAGTCATCTTCTTCAGCTGAAATATGGCTGTCGTTTGAAATACAAAAATATATTTTCAATATACATTGTATTCATGTCACTTCTTTCTTGGCAGTATTTTGTATGATGATGACTCCATAGGCAACTTTTTTGAATCCGCTTTTTTTGAATCCAAAGCACTGCTTCCTGAAAAACAAAATTCCACTTGAGTATCTATTTCCTTGATGCGGGCTGCTGCTGTTCTAATACTGAAGACAACTGCTGGAATACACTGTCGGATTGCGGCGTTTGCTTGCTGCGTTGACTTATCAAAGACGTCTGTCGCGTTACGCTACCACCAATATACATGCCGTTTTCACGTTACTCAGCATCAAAACACGGTAAAATGCAAAATCTGGAAAAGGTTTGTAAGATTCGCTCACAGTGAGTGAGGAATCATCTGTGATGTGTCAGTCACGTAGCGTCGTCTCTCAGATTCGTGTCTCGCCTTCGCCGGGAGCTAAGCTACCCATGCTTGACTGTCGTCCGCTACTGTACGAAACTGAGTCCCCAGATTGTGGGGCGTTCACCGACTCGGCAGATCGGGCTGGCCGGATTCTAACACCCCCCGGTCGCTTCCATCTCCGACTCAATTTCTTGGGCTCCGCAGAAGTTGCGGCGGTGGATCCTTCACTGTCCTTGGTCGCCCCTTCCTCAACGGAGTCTCGCGTCTGGCTGCCGAGTCGCGTTTTCCGGCCGGACAGTACAGCGCCCCCGGGTTGCGCCTGCGCATCTGTCGGGGGGCACGTGCTGATCGTCACGTCCATCTCTTTTGTATCGTCTTCCACAAAACTGGGGTCCGACGTCTTTAATTTGTGCGTGACTACAACGCCGCCGGTAATGTCTGCCGGGGAAGTCGCCGACGAAGTGTCTGTCGATTCGTGCCGCTGGCCCGCTTCCCGCGGGCGTGGCGCGCTCGAGCTCCACACCCTTCTCCGGAAACCTTTTGGCGCGGATTCCAGTTCCGACTCGTGCGAGTCGTCTTTTTCCTCGCTGCGGCTCTCTTGCGTCTTGCCGTGCCGCTCTTCACGGTAGAGTTCAATCAGCATGTCAAGCTTGCGGTCGATCAGTGTGACCCGTCTTTCCACTTTGACGACGCGCGATAGCAGGCTGATGCTAGGATCAAAGAGTTCTAAGTCGCTGCCTCCGCGGCCCTTCACTCTTCTGTCTGGCTGCCCTGGTTTACCCAAAATATTGTCCAACCTGTCAGTAAAACATAAACATTTAGAATCAAACTAAACAATTTGCCGTTTTCTTAAAGGTAAACCTGCAACTCGCCACTCTCCAAAACAAGGCAATGAATTTCTTGTATCAAACTTGATAAAGTTTGGAAACGAAAAAGCTTCCTGGTGATCATTATCGTCAGTAAAAGCATCCATTAAAGACTGTGAAATCATTTTCAAATTATTGTAAAAAAAACCAATGAAATGTGAATGTGAAGTTATGGTATTGAGTAAATCAACTGAGGGAAAAAAATTGAAGTTCCCAACCACGGTTTCCTAACTGACAGTAATGTGGACAAGTCCATCACAAGTCCATTACAAGTCCATCAAAAGACCATCACAAGTCCATCACAAGTCCATCACAAGTTCATCTCAAGTCCATCACAAGTCCATCACAAGCCCATCACAAGTCCATCACAAGTCCATCACAGTTTATCTCAAGTCCATCACAAGTCCATCACAAGCCCATCACAAGTCCATCACAAGTCCATCACAAGTTCATCACAAGTCATCACAAGTCCTCCAGTCTCAATTCCAGTCACAAGCAATTCAAAATTGTCACAAAAAGCACGCCTTTGATACTGTTCATCTCCTTTTACTTGTGACTGGACGTGAGAAAGGACTATTGATGAGACTTGTGATTTACTTTCGATGGGACTCGTGATGGACTTGTGATAGACTTGTGATGGACTCAACCACAACATTGCTAACTGCACCCCCCAAAAAAACCCACTAAGTTTTACCTTGCTTGAAGGCTTTTAATTCTGGCCAGCATATCAGCATGGCCTGAGGAATACTGCTCGATAACGTCTTTGACATCGTACGGCCGAAACGCCTCTTTGAACTTCCGCCGGGCCACAAAATACTTAATCTTCCGGACTGCCCGGATGGCGTTCTTGTGAGCCTCTGTCAGCTTGGTCAGTCCGACAGGCTCTACTTCGGGACAGACAGGGGATAAGAAAAAGAAGTCCCAGTTTCAATATCAAAATAGAACTCTTTTCTTGTGCCACTTGGATCCATTTGTGGCTGCTATATATTCCTACATCTGGTTTTATGGAATAGTAAAAGTAAAGTCTGTCACAAGCCAATATGGCCCATCAGGCCAGCGTTTATCTCTGGCTTCCCTGGCATGAAACCACAGAGAATATGTGATGCGATCAAGCTAAATGAGTCGTTTGTCGGGAGTTTCTATGTGGAGATACAGGCCAAAATAGAGCCACTTCATCACATCACTTCATCGCATCTCTTGGTGTTGGGACTTCCATAATTTTTGAACTAAAGATGGTATCAGCATGCGGTTTTCACAGCAGTAATGCTGAGATTGTGCTCCTTTGAAATCTGTAATAATCAAAAAATTGACCAGGGTCGGCCAACGACTCATTTAGCTTGATCGCATCACATATATTTACTCTCCCCTTGATGGGATGCCAGTCCATTACAGGTTACTTTCCAGCTAATGCTGGTACTCGTTTATACTCCTGGGTGGGGAGAGGCAAGTGTGGGTGAAGTAGCTTGCCTACTGTTGGTGAAGTAGCTTGCCCAGGAGGGTGAAGCTATGTAGTGCGGGAAAAGATACGTACAGGCATGCTGACCAAACCCTCCACGACAAACCAACCTTGTGAATGCTGCGTGTGGTATCGGTGGGAGCCGCGGGACCGGATGGAGTCTTGCTCCCCGTATGCCCCCGTGCTGAGCTCCATCTTCTTGTCCTCGTCGTCGTAGATCCCGTTGGCGGCCTTCTTGACCCGGTCGCTGTTGCGGTGCAGCATGGGGCTGTTGGTGCTGCGCTTGATGGACAGCCGCGAGATCAGGTTGTTGGTGCGGAAACTACTGCACGGGAAAAGACAAGACGAAACGAGAGAGACGCGAGAGGTTGAAAATTCAAGTCTACTGAAAGCCCATCCCACCTCTCAGAGGCACATAAAGTGTGATGAAGAAAAGAAAAATTCAAATGTAGAAACAGGTTTCAACTAATCTAAGTTGGCAGGAAAGTATTAAGAAAATATAAATGAGAGACAAGATTCCAACAACTCCCTTTTGACTGCACAAAGAAGAAGCAGCACTTCCTTTAGATAGTTTGGAGCCTCTTTTTGCAATTAGCCAATGAGCCTAAAATGTCTTGATTTCTTAAGGAAACTGTGATGTATGCACGGTACTCCTTTCTTCTGGGGTATCTACAATATCTACAAGAGGCGAAATAAGTAACATTGCCAAATTCTGTCATCTACATGTAAGTTAACTCTGAGTGATTCCTGTTTGGTTTGCAGCATTGCTTATGTTTCTATCATTGTGACTTAGGCCATGATCACTGGCCACATTGTATAAATGGCTGATTGGTTTCTGACTTGCAATTTCAATATGTCTCCTGAATTTGACCACTTCTGTAGTAAGTCTATTGTGGCTTATGTGGTTTACTCGAAAGAAAAAAATCTATAGGGTTAAAAAACTTAGTCAATGCATTACAATATAATCTTCATGTGTACCACAAAAAAAGACACAGAAAACTCATATTCATGATCAGCATGAGGTGCGAATGGAAAAATCAACAGAGGGCGCTTTTATGGATACAAAAATGACTTTTCTTCTGGCCAAACAAATGGGCATCACTATCATATTAATGAATTAAAAAAATACAAAAAAAACTACCAAACATGCAGTCCTCTAATAGTTTTAAACACAGATAAAGCATGACGCTTTAACATATGATTTTGTTCTCCCTTTGAATTTATAGCTGTGCTATCGACAAGCAAGCCATGCTTACAATAAACACTGTAAATTTGACAGAGCTACATTTTGGCTAAAAAAGATTGCATGGTAAATTAACATGCTTAGCAAAAATCAAATGGAACCAATCTAAAGAAAAAGCTAATATATGCATGACATTTGGTCTGGTAACCCGTATTTGCTGAATAAGCTCTGGGCGCTTAATAATGTGGTGCTTAGCACTTTATACCAAAGGTCTCAAAGCGTTTCACAATTATTACCCCTGTTCATCAGTCCATGAGACGACTTATTTTTTTCATCACTGGCATGCAAAAAAACTTTCCTATGTTCCTAATCTAATATACATGATGGCATGTACTAGCAAAATCACAATGCTACAACTAAAGACCTGATGAAGCATTCCATTTAACACCTTTGGCGAGCAGATGATAGTTTTTCATTGTCTACATGTATGAATGTGGGTGCAGCAAACCTAAAAGCTCTTACCTGAGTTTACAATGTAGGGGCGGAACTTTGAAACACAGACTAGCATATATGAATGATTAGCGTGTGGAGTGGGTGGAGCCAACTGTGATCAGTGGGTGGAGCCAACCGTGATCAGTGGGTGGAGCCAACCGTGATCAGTGGGTGGAGCCAACCACGATCAGTGGGTGGAGCTACCTGTGGTCAGTGGGTGGAGCCAACCGTGGTCAGTGGGTGGAGCCAACCGTGGTCAGTGGGCGGAGCCAACCGTGATCAGTGGGAGGAGCTACCTGTGATCATTGGGTGGAGCCAACCGTGATCAGTGGGTGGAGCCAACTGTGATCAGTGGGTGGAGCCAACTGTGATCAGTGGGTGGAACCAACCGTGATCAGTGGGTGGAGTCAACCATGATCAGTGGGTGGAGTTGACTGTGATCAGTGGGTGGAGCCAACCGTGATCAGTGGGTGGAGCCTAATATAATGGGCGGGGTTTCAGGCATATATGTATTGGCCTCAGCTGGCACTCAGGGTCTAGTTTTTTGCATGATATGGTAATGAGATGCAGGCAGTGTAAAAAAAAAGGGGCGGGTTTCCATTAAGCAGGCGGAGTCAGCATTCAGTGGGTGTTGCCTGCAGCCTGATGAGGGCGGGGTTTGAGAAATGGTCTTACCTGTGCCTGTTGCTTCTGGCTTGCACACTGACAAACAAAAATGGCAATTGGAATGTAGATTATGATAGACTGGATTGTTGGCATGAGCATGTCAACCATGAATTATGCACGTGAAACTGACTTTTTTTTGCTAAGGACAGATCAATGTCAACTTCTGCGCAATGGATTGATTGCTAATTTGAATCTGAAGATATTAAGGCAAAAAAAAATTGAACAGTACAATGGACTTTTTGAAATGAGCATTGCAATGGAGAAAAATGGACCAATTTTATATTTCTTCTTTCAAATGTCCAACTTGGAAATGATTAATCCTTTTCTTCCTCCATTGTCTTCTGTTACAGATAATCCATCTGGTCTTCCTTGTTTGTGTTTACCCATCTTCCCCCATCTTTCATCCCTTTCCACCTCAATACTGTTCCCCCCCCCCCCCCACATCATCCCTTCACTCTCACACTCTTTTGTCCGTTCCCACTCCCTGTGACCTTTGATCCTTCCCCTTTCTGGTCCCTCCCCTGTATACACAAGACCCCTTGTGGTTTGCCATCTCCCTGTGTTTCTTTGTTCTCTCATCCACCCTCCCCTGCATCTTTCCACACCTTTCACACCTAATCCTCCTTTTGTGTTTCTTCTTTCAGCCCTGCATGTTTGTGTGCATCCCCATGTTAATGTATGTACCTCTGTCATTTCTGTTTTAGCCTCTGAAGAAGAACTTGCTAAGTTCGCAACGTCAGGCCACATTAATTTTAAGATTTATATGGAATATGCTTAACATTTAAGCAAATGCAAAATTCAGCAAGATTGATAACAAGGAAGATTTAAACTGAATTAATGCATGGCTAGCTGGCTGAATGAGTTTGCATATCAGCAAAGTCATAAAGATGCGATCATGGTGTTCAAAAATCTGGACAGAAACTGGACACTATAGTCGATTGAGTTTATAAACTGTCCACGAGTGGTTGCTTATCGCATCTCTTTATCCATGGCTCTATGGGAGTTTAATAGCGCCCTCTGTTGGCCAGTGGTTGAAGCCAGTTAGATTTTTGATACCATTTGCATGAAAGAGAAATGTCTCCCTTTTCTGACAGACAAAATGCTGGAGGAGCTTGATTTAATTGAAGTAAGAACTTTTTAAAAAAATACGGAAAATGGAATGAGAAAATGCAGAATTTGAAGAAGATGAAGCAGATTCTAATTCTTTTATGTAAAGAGCCATGGTTTGAAGGTTAAATCTGTGAAAAATGTTAGCCTGATAAAAATCACACAAAAAAAGCAATAGAAAAAAGAAACTAAACTTTCTTTTAGTTTTAGTTATCAACTAGTAAAGACAACAACTCTAGATCTGCCTTGTATGTTAGTAGAGTCACCAGCTGTTAGTGTTCCATATATGGCCCTTGAATATGAATAAAAGATCAGCTTCCGGATTTACTCACTTGTTATTGGTGGGGCTCTGTACAGGTTTTAAGTGTGGTTTCCATGTGGCCATGGAACATGAATTGGGATCTGCTGCATAACATCTCCACAGGCACTGCAAATAATACAAGTTTTCAAATTGAATATGGGATGTAAAAACCCTATGTTAACACAGGTCGAACCTCATTTTATTTTTTTTTCCTTCTTAATTTGTTGACAAAACAATATATGCTGAAATGCCCAACACTTTGCAAAAGGACTTGGACTCAAACACCAATCCAAGTCCAAAAAGTTTGCCTATTTCTTGCACATCTGTGTCAGTTGTTGCTTTAAAACTATATGTTTGATTATATTTTGGGACTTGAAGCCTTCAAAACAAATTGAGCCAAAATCTTTCTAAAATGTACCGTAAAAGTTTCAGCAATTTTGCCTCTCAATGTGGTTTTGGGGAATGATTTGTGGAGTTGTCTGTATTGATAAATGAAATTGTCATCGTAAAGGGGAAGATCTACATGCATATTTTAACAAAATTCAAAAACTATTTATAATAAATAATATCAGAGTCTTATATAGCGCATGTATCTACCAACTATTAGGTACTCAAGGCGCTGGAGATATGTCCATTATTAAAGAAAGGTAAATAAAGTTTATGAGAGACATGAGACCCATTGTGTAGCACCTTATAAGGGTTTACAAGATGCTGCAGTGCATATTGCAGCCACGGCCAGAAACACCGGGGCAAACCCCTTCTCTTAGCAATAAGTGTTACTAAGGGTTCTTTAACATGCATTAATTACACAACGCACGGGACCTATATGGCTTTACGTCCCATCCGAAGGACGAAGCAATAATGGTAAAGTGCCTTGCTCAAGAGCACAAGCACCATGTTCCCACGGTCAGGATTCGAACCCCTGTACCACGGTACACGGGTCGAACACCATAACCATTGGACCACAGCACCCCACATATTTCAACCAGTTCTCCCAGAAGAGTGTGTCAGGACAGAACCATGACACATTGACCTACCTGAATGAGCATGGCTGCTGGATGCCGCCTTCTTGCAAAATGCTTCTGCCTTTGCTGCTGCTGGACTTGCAAGGCAAAGCCAGAACCCAGGATGCCCTGGTACAAGAAATCGAGATGATCATGAGATTACACCGTACTCTTTTTAGAAGCCGGAGAAGACTGCCACTCTTAGGGATGAGATTGTCAATTTCAAAAAAGGTCTTAAAAATTGGATGACATGGGTGGCACAATGCGTAAAGCGCTTGCCTCTCACCACCGTGGCCCGGGTTCGATTCCCTGCTTTGTGAGTAGAGATATTCATTGATGGTCTGCTGTGATACGAGGGTTTTTCTCCGGGTTTTCCGGTTTTCCTCCCTCCACACTAATCAACACTTTTGATCTGGTTGTGCTCCATGGTAAAACATGGGTTGTGAGGCACCTTCACATGCCTTCGGCTCTACCAAGTTGTAGCTGCATTCTTCGAAATTCAGATTCTGCTGCGAGTAAGGATGATTATCCTCCCAAATTTATTTAAAGGTCTGAAAGATGCATTTCTTTATATACTGATGTCTTTCTCTCAGATTCAAAATGCTGAATGAAGACAAAAGTCTGAAAAATATCACGCCTGCAATATCTTAAACCACTAGAATTCAGTAGATGAACACAGCTTCACTAAATTAACTGTAGCTCTGTCTGCTTTTCAACAAAAATATTTTATTGCTTCGATCTTTTTCCGAAATGGGTGTCATTCTTTAGATGTGGAGCACAGAATTTCTGCACTTATCACAGAATGATGATCGCAAGCCCAGAACTCCAATTTTTCGCAAACTAATTAAAATGGGCCCCAAAGTACACTTAATTAACTCTGTACACTGGTATGGGTTATTGGAGTTTTTAAATTAATGGTGAGTGCACTGAACACTTATTCATGATAGAGGCGGAAGCATGCATGCTAGTGCCTAAAGGTGATCGAGACATGTGCATTCATCTCTTATTCATCAGTATGTAGGTATGCACAGCTGTGACTCTTGGCGTCGATTCATCTGCGAGGCTAATGAACCTGTCGTCCCGGCCAAGAATGGGCTTTGGAGTTTATTCTCCTAATGTATCAGGTCCGTGGCAAGCAGGCCAAAGCTGGGGTAGAGGGTGCTGTAGGTCTCTCTCAAATGACGTCATTTCCTACAGACCAGCCATGCGCATCCACATTTTGAGTGTCAACTTGCATGAAGCGCATCGGCTGCGTTGTATTTCGAACACATTTCAAGCAACAACCTAGGGCGTTTGGAACATTTTCAACACTGCGCAATGCGTGCTTGATTGCGTAAAGTACGCAGTTGCACTTCTCCTACAGAGATGGCCGTCTTTGAGAGAGACATATATCAGCAAGATGAATTTAATATAGTCTTGGGAAATTTGGCAGCGCTAGCCAGGAACTTCAGAGCGTACCTCACGCGCATGCATCAACTTGAATACAGGATGTGTAAGGTATGCTCTAAATTATCTGGGTAGCGTTGCCGAAGTTCTCAAGAGAGGATATGATCAATCTTGTCGATGGTAACCTCTACCACAGCGGCTCTACCACTCTTGTTAGAGACCAAATGTATTGGGGGAATTTGGGTAGCACAGAACATAATTTCCTTAGTGCAGTGACCGGTTCCCAGCCAAAATGTCATTTGCTCTTCATTGCCAGTGGTTGGTCCTCATCAGTTGATTTTTGGTGCAGGGCATTCTGTAAAATTGGGCCCATGGTTGTTTTATTGAGTCGGGGGGGGGGAGGGGATTGTATGAGCCTGAGGCTACATTTACAATGTACGTGTACATATAGGTCACTGAGGCAATGGCCTTAACTGTCCTGCAGCCAAGTTCACTAAATGGTGCACAATTTATGCAATCTATATGATTTACGCAATAACTTTGTTGCACAGCTGTGCAATATACCTGCGATCGATTTCACAAACTTGGTCTGGCTGTGCAATGTTTTAAATATTCAAACATCTTGGATGAGTAGTTTGATCAGCTGCACCCATCATTTTGAGAAAAAAAAGTCATGTCAGACTTCCTTCAGATGTGAACAAGAGGTTTTTCTGAAGTTTTTATTTTTTATTTGTGGCCTGGTAGTTTGGGGTGAATTCCAAACTGTATCAAGCCTAATGCCTGAAGAGGAAAAAATGAATTGCTCAAATGTTGGTGTATCCAAAGTCTACTCATTATTCTTACTAAAAGATATATCTACAGAACTACAAGGCCGATTGGTTTGAAACTGTGAATTGCTCAAATGTTGGTTTATCAAAAGTTTTCTCATTATTCTAATCATAAGACACATCTACAAATTGTGTTAAAACTCATTTTGTGTGTGTGTGAGTTTGATTGTAACGAAACTGAACAAAAATTTGAGCTCACCGCTGGAAGTGCGAAAAAAGACACCCCGAGAACAGCTAAGATGGCAGCAGACAACTTCCCTGCCCAGCTTTCCGGCGTCTTGTCGCCGTACCCTACTGTCGTTAATGTCACCTGCAGACGAAACAAAAATAGGTTTTAAATAAAATTGAAAGACTGTCTCTAGCCAATATATGGCTCACCAAGCCGGTGTTTAATCTCCTAGTTTCCTTGGCATGAAATGACTGAAAATATTTTCTATTTCCCGTGTGTGGGATGCCAGCCCATCGCATGCAGGTTACTCCCCAGCTAGTATGCCTACCTATTTATACTCCTGGGCTTAGAGAGGTGAGCAAGGTAAAGTGGCTTGCCCATAGACACAAATGGCCACAAGCTGGATTGAAACCCGGGAGGCTGATGCAATAACCATCTCAAAGCCTGCCACTCTTCCCCTTGGGGTGCTGTGGTCATAATTATGTTGTGTCCTTGGGCAAGCCACTTCACCCCAACTTGCCTCTTTCCACCCAGGAGTATAAATGGGTACCGGCATTAGCTGGGGAGTAACCTGCGATGAACCAGCATCCCATCCAGGGGGAGTAGAAATATTCCCAGTCGTTTCATGCTACTGAAACCGGAGACAAATGCCAGCCTGATGGGCCACATTGGCTCAAGACAGACTTTATTCTATTACCTACTCACTGCATACTATAAAATCTTATTTGTGATGTTCTTGGCAACCAGTTAAATTTAACTTTTCCGGTGATTCGCCCCAACAATTCTCCATAGTAAACACTTTCTAAACAATAATTGAAAAACCTGCATGCACTTTCCGTACCCTACTACCTTGGGGACAAATTCCCCATCTTAGGCTTTTAAAAATTGCACTCAGAAATTAAGCCTGAGCCAATAAAGACAAAGAAGACAAAGACGATCGAAAAACAGATCAACAACGGTAAACGGCAATTCCGATTCTCTCTTGGGCTCAGAGAAGCCGTCTGGTCATCTAAATGCTAAAAAACCTGCAAATGCCAGGATAATGGGGAATTCACACCGATTGAAAAAAAAACAGGACAAGATATGTAACTGGGTCATTTGTGTCATTTGCTGTTTTGTTTATGGGTAAACCAATTTCTCGGTTCTATCCCTTCACATTAGGGATGGGTGTATTATTCAGAGTTGGTAAATGGCGTGATTCTCGATACAGAAAAGTGCTGGTGGTGCCGAAAATCCTGCCGTGCATCATGGGAGAAAGTCGACATCCATCTCAGAAATTTACCAAATGCATTCGCTTGTCCATCTGTTTTTCCTATTTTGAACATTCAGTCATAATTTTTTTTTTTTTACACAGGAAGGGGAAATACTGCAAAGGGCAATGCCACCGGAACGATCATTGATCACACCTGAAGAGAAATGAGATTGTCATCGGGGAAAAAAAAATAGCCCAAGGGGTCTCAATCTCCGGCAAAACTCCATCGCCATGCCAACTGTTGCTAGGCTCTAGCATGATTAATGTGACGAGACAAAAGGTACCTAGTTGAAGTTTTCTCGTTTTCTGTTATGGCACAAATTTATAATAGGTTCTGGGATCTTTATGGACATCAAATATTAATTTTCCCATATTAACATTCCTTATTATTTATTTATAGTTTTGCATCACCTCTAAAAAAAATATAACCGTATAATTTCAAATAAAGGTCCTGCACCCAGGGCATGCATATATTCATTATTTTCCAAAGTTCTGTATTTTATCGGGTCGTTTCATCGCCCACACATACATGTAGGTGTAAAAGTGCGATGACCCAGACCGTTTTCATTAACACGGCAACAGTGGGTTGCAAGGGTTGGCTGAAAACCAAGGGAATGTTCGTGCGCGGACTGAGCGGCTTGTGAACATTCCGTGAACACTGAGAAGTGGCTTCTCTCCATTATTTTATAAGGAGCTGGATTTAAAGGGAAAATACAACATTTGCAAACATCAAAAAATAAAACTACCAAATCATTTTGAAATACCTTGCTGGACTGTTAGTGAATGACAGTGTAAAGCATCCTGTAAAATCATGGCACCTGGTATACTGTCATTTTCAAGATAAGTGGTATTTTTGTATAAATTTCCAACGCTGATCGGCCGACCAGCGATGGAAAAAACTGGGTTTTTTTCAAATACTGGCCCCAATTGACCATCGCACTTGTTTGCAATCGATAACACACCTATGAACGGGTACAAGCCAGCTAGACTGGTTCCCTGACCTTACAATTCCCCAATGTATGTAAACTGCTCTGTTTCTTCTTAAATGGAGCCAGGGAACCAGACTACAGGAAAATGATTGTTTTTCTTGGTTTTTATAGCATTTTTGAACCCAAAACCTCAAAAAGTCAGTGTAACTATATTTGCTATATATTTCCAACCCCCCAATTCCATCCATTTCTGAAAATTACAGCAAAAGCAAATGATGTATATTCCCTTTAAGAAATAATTGATAGTGTACTCCTTAACAAGTTTGTAATTTGTAAGGATCGACATGTACACGTATCAGCATTAATGTCAACTTGGCAACCTGGTGTCTACTGATGTAAGTGTCGGTTAATACTTCACGTGAATGCCGATACAATATGACGCCAGGAAATATAAGCTGTGAAATTCGTCAAGTGTGTGATTTTTTGCAGTGTGGATACTTACTGTAAGGTCATAAATTCACGTTCACTGTTGCGCGCCAATTAAGTAGTACGGCAGATAGGTGCTGGGATTGTGCCTTTGATGATACAAGCATGGCATTTGGCACATAGTAAGAGTATGTCATGAGAAACGTATTTGGCTATAGGGCCGTCGTAGCGTTGTCCTTTTAACAAAATATAGGTAGAATAACAAGCAATGGCAGCCAAAGGACAAATCTGCGATGGCCCTATAGCCAGACATCTTTCTCATGACATACTCTGACTGTGTGCCAAATGCCATGCTTGTATCATCAAAGGCACAATTCCCCCAAATATCTCCCCTATCTGCCCCAATAAATAATGGATGACGGCCTTAACACAGGCCAGTTTCAAACATACCATTCACATTTTAATTGTAATTTTTTTATTCAGTTCAATAAAAAAGTATATGCGCGATTACAACCAATCTACAGATGTAATTTGATATATTAAACTTTTTGGGGGGAGGGGAGGGGTGGGGTAGGGGAGGGGTAGGGGAGGGGTAGGGTGGTGGTGGATGTCGGGCACAGCACATTTCACGGAAGCAGGGATTCAGTAAGTCGGGGGGGGGGGGCAAAATACAATTTTCTAAAAGTGGGTAGGGGTCCAATTTGCATGTATGTCTCCCTCTCCGCTACCACTTTCCACTACCCCAAAAATCTGACCATCAATATGTGAGCACAAGCGTTTTGACAATTGGGTTATTGAACTACTTAGCCAAAACAACCACATCCCAAGTGCGTACTTCATATGGATTGAACCACTTCACATTAAGCCCAACAGAAGACTTACGGCCCACGTCGCTATCCATCTTAATACAGTTTCATCATCCACTAGGAACATTCACACATATATCACATTTTTGTGTCTACGAGTGTGGTGATAAACCTTTCTGAACCTCTCTCGACCGAAAAACACATCCATCAATTTTCAAGCTCTTTTCGACCGTTTCGTTACATCCCCATCAATTTTTCGCTCTGTTTCTTTCGATTATTCCCCAGTGCCATTAACACCATATTTCTTGCATCCCTACCATTTTTTTTTTTGCCCATCTACCTTTTTTCAATTTACGATTTTTCTCAGGTTGTTTTTAGTGTTAGGGTTTTTTTTTCTCGTTTCTATCTTTGATGAAAGGTTGGGGTGAAATAAGTACGACCCCAATTCCAGTAACTGAATTGGAAACTCGTTGCTTTGTTCCCTTGGGGTGGTTCTCTTGTCGAGTGCACCAGCGGCAGTCTTTTTATCAGAGGATGGATGAGGGATGAGATTGCAAAGTGGTGGGAAAAACACGAGGAGGAATTTACGGAATGGAAGTAACAGAAAAAGTGTGAAAAAAAATGGGGGAGAAAAACCAATGCAAGACAGCAGGATGGGTATCAAGATGGAATTTTGCCCTACACTGAAGCGATTTTTTTAAAAGTACCATACAAGTGCTCCGTGCTGAAAACTTATAAGAAAAAGAATTCACAAGATTTCTTGGTTGGGACTCGAACCCACGACCTCCTGCTTACTAGTGCAGATGTCTAACTAGTCACCGAGCTGGTGAATAGCCTGAATTATAAAACCACTAGTACTAACTAGACAGCTGGACAAAATCCTACATGTTAAATGCTGGGCTTGTGCTTTTTATTACCAAACTATAGTCCAGTGGTTAAATGGTTTTTCACAATTTAAACACCAGATGCTATATTTGAAGTCCCACTTCACAGGGTCCAACATTCATCTTCTATGTCCTAATGCTCATTGGCTTTTCTGCAAAGTTACGGAAAAGCCTTTGTTTTTGTTCTAATTTTTTGTCTTTCTTCTTCCTTTTTATTCTTTCCCAAATCCCATAGACTTTGTGCATGATTTTTCTCCCAGCCACTTTGGGCATTCAATTTTGTCATACATCATTCAAAGTTAGCATATATGCATAGTCCCCATAGTAAAGCTGTGTCCCGAAGAGTGACGATATGATGACGTCATCATGTCATATGACATCATCTTAAAGGTGCATTTTTTTCAGTGGCCTAAATCTACAGAACTACAAGGCCAATTAATTAGGTTGAAACTGTGTATGTGCACATACCGGGATGCGTTACAGATGAAACTTGAGGTGACGTCATGATGACCTCATCATTTGATTTTATACGGATTTTTGACATAGCGGGGTGCACCAGAGCGGCGACGTGGGGAGTAGAGGGGTCACTTACCAAACCATACCACAATGCGTCCGGTAGCGTCGCGTAGTCTCTAGGGTTATTCTCATGCTCCAGTGTGTATACAAGGAATGATATGGATATAAGAGCTAAGAAACCAATGTACCATGTCGTAAGTAGCTCCTGCATCCAAAATAAAAATACACAGAGAGAAAAAAAACACTAATTATTTACATTAGCATCAATGTGAACAAGTGGTGCTACTTTAAGTTCACATTCAATTCAGGCAATTCACAATGCAGTGCGCCACCAAGAGTTTGCCACGGAGAGTTCATTTTTCCCAGTGCATTGTGGGAGATGGCTGACAAATTCGCAGCGCGGGACATTTGACATTGTTTTTTTTTTTTTTCGGTCAGTAGTTTCGTAAGCGTATGATTCGAGTATATGTTTGCCTTTTTTTTTCTTTCTATCAATATGGTGTTTTTTGCAAGGCAGCAGAACGCTATGCTCCAATTTATGATTAATTAGCTCAAGTTGTCTACTGACACTCATTCAAATGGGCTATGAGTTGACAACCGTTAACTTGAAAAATGGACTCTCCATGGCAAACTCTTGGTGGCGCACTGCATCTGTGAATTGCCCTAATTGCATTTGAAAAGACATCTAATAAAACCTACACACAACATTTCTATCGCATCTGTAAGTAAATGCTGCGCGCATAGAATATTTCAACCAAATCCGACTCGTACTGTACGCAACTAAATCATCGGTTGCGCGCTTACGTACGTGTATGTATGTGCGTGATTTAAAGCCACATGACATTCGCTCATTGCGTAGCATATCGTCACATGCCGCTTGACGCAGCCTGTTTTGCTCACACAATTCGCAACGTAAAAGCAGTAAATTTTGTGTCTAGGTTTTATTTATATGTCGATGCATCAACGCCCAAATGCAAAGCGTTTCTACCTGTCTGTGCGCCCACACGACAGAGCCCAGCAGCTTCCAGGTGCTGCCCCGCCTGTCCAGCCTCACCATGCGCAGGATCTGCAGGAAGCGAAGGCCTCGGAAGGCCGGCTCCATAAACTTTGCATTCTTGGTGCCCACGGCAATGATCAATACTGAGGCAAACACTACCACGATATCTGGGGAAAATCAAGACGAGATTCATATGAAATATTTCACAAAGGCCAATATTGATTTTGCTGGGGATTTTTTTTTGGGGGGGGGGAGGGAGGAATTCAAGTCATCACAAGTCCGTAAAAAAAAACGAGAAAAGATTGTTGAATATTAACCTGACTTGGTGGGAGTGGTAATGGGCTCCGTGCGCCAACAGAAGAGGGCGCCCTTTTACCTAGCAACGACGTCCCATGTGCGGGACACATACATTTTGCTGGTTGACGCACGCACCGTTCCTTGTGTGTGACGCACGTACACCAGGGGATTTGTACAATGTACACATAGTGGCCGCGCTTCGCGGCAAAAAATAGCAGTCAGGCAAGATGGCGTCGTTCGGTCACCCCCAACTGTACTTTCTTTGCCGGTGAAGGGGTACTTGTGAACGGAGTGGATTGCCCCTTTGCCTTTATTTTCCGAGAAATAAATATTAGCTAGAATGAAGAAATTGATACGAACCATATTTAAACATTGTACAGGCATATTAGCCTTTTTGTTGAAATAATGACACTTTACATTGATATAAGGTTGAGGAAAAAAACAAAAACAAAAACAATGAAAAGGGTTTTGAACTTGCGACCACTCGATGACGTACACACACTCTATTGGTGCCCTACGTTTATAGTGAGTTTATCCAGCTCTATGTTGGTCATTTCAAATGTTGTCAGCATCTTTGAGGGTTCATGTGATCCTAAAAAGATCTTTGGAGATTTCAAAGACATAAAGTTATGACCCAGACACAAAACTTGTGAGGTGTCTCAATTTTGCAGCAATATGTAACATTCTTCGTAGTCCTAACAAAAATAGTGATTTTTCAGATAACATTTTTAAAAAAATCTGCAGTTGTTTGTTCTAAATAATGTAGCCTCTTATTTCTTGTTCACAAAACTTGACACCGAATTTAGTGAGCCTCTCCTAGATACTAGAGTTTATAAGTCAATAAAAAAAGGCCAGTAAGCAAGAATTGTTGGCTTATGCTTTTATTGCTTACAGGCAAAAATTTCTGACTGCCAGTTAAACAAGCTTCTCCTCCAAACCTATTGAATTTGACCGTGTTTCTCCGGGGCAACTCAAAAGCACTTTAAGAGCCTCTGAAATGAATTTACATGAAAAATATTTCCAAGAGGGAAAAAAAAAATGCCTCACCGAAACGAAAACAACAAAAAAATTGACAAGGGACGGGAATGAAAGAGGTTTCTCGGCTCTCGTCCAATATGAACCCTGGGGCCGACTTGCAACTCAATCAGCCATGCAGAAGATGCAATAGGCCACTGGGAACCAAACCAGAAGGGGACTAACTTTGTTAAGATGAGGCGAAGAGGAACACAAAAAAAGAAGAAGAAGAAGAAAAAAACTAGAGATGATGCGGGAAGTAGAATTCCAGGGTGCCACTCAGATACTCTGCGCCGTTGTGCCCTGCGGGGGGTAGGCACTGGAAACTCGATCACGAAAACCCGAGATGTCGTTTACCTAAATCGATGCTATACCTTTACATGCAGGACTATAGTGTTCCACACGACAGACGTGTATTTGCGTGAAGGTTTCTTCAGTTCGGAAAAACACCTGTTTATTTTTTAAAATAGTAACTATTTAAAAGACGAGTGATGGAAAACGTGGAATGAGGAGGGAGTCTGGGATGTGGATAAATTGGATTTTAAAGCTTGAAAAGGAGCGGGAAATAAGGCTGATGAGTTATTTTCGCGTGACAGAGTTTCTTCTGATGGGTGTGGGTTTAAAAACGGACAGGGCAAGCTTAAGGTTGAACGGCGGTTGGAGAGGTGCCATCGTGGCTCCGCAGTGTCCTATTTGGGGACAGGAACTCAATTGAGCATAACTAATACGCCACCCACCCGATCGATTGTCTGTTTCAGACCGGGAGCCTATCTTGGCATTCCGTCAAGTCGAGGAATTTTGCGCGACTGAAACAACTCTTTCAGGCCGGTTTATTTTAAGAAACTTGCGCGAAATGCAAGATCGTACCACCGTTTCCGACCGGGAGCCTATTTTGGCATTTTATCAAGTCGAGGAATTTCCCGTGACTTAAAAAAAAAATCTTTCTGGCCGGTTTATTTTAAGAAATGAAATGCTAGACTGTGCCACAAGCGGAATAAAAATAAAAAATACTGCGTCACTCAAGGAGTGTTTCCCCAGGCTAATGGGTTTAAGGGTTAAGTCCCTTACATGCGGTGAGTGACTGGAGTTGAGACTACACTTATCCCACAAAAATAACCTCAATCATGGCGGCTGGAATATCAGAGAAAATGTTTGGACAACGGCTTCCCGAATTGGGAAGCATCAAGTGATGTGTTGGGAGGAGTGCAATAACAAGCCGTTTTTCAAATTAAGCTGAGAATGTATGTCAATATGATTTTTGAACAAACAGTGGAAGTTTGGACGGACAATCTAGCTCCAAGATTTTTACAAATTGATGCATATTTTGGCACCTAGGGCTTCAGAGAAAAGGAACACGTGAACAGCATTCTCCTGTTTTTTTTAAGTGTATTTATTTAAGCTAGTTAACAGACAGGACGTTTGCAGCTACGGTAGCCTTCCACTCATCTACATTGGACTAGAAATGGGTTTTAGTGAGTTAAAACCAACAATGTGTAGACATTTGTGTGGACAATTCTCAGAAATTTTCAGAACTGGATAGATTTGGGGATTAGTATAGCATTATTGTTACACTGGATGCTGGAAAAACCAAGAAAAAAGTAAGTTCTTGTGGCCTGATTCCCTGACCCTCCTCCAGACAAAACGGAACAATTTATAGACATCAGGGAATTGTCAAGTCAGGGAACCAGACTAGCTGGTTTGTACCCGTTCACAGATGTGTAACCGATTGCAAACAAAATGTGGACTAACTAAATTTGGTAAATTGGGGGCAGTATTTGAAACAAGGTTACTTTATGGTTGGCCAACCATTGTTGGAAATTGATACAAAAATTCCACTTTTCTTGGAAATGACAGCACACCAGGTGCCATGATTTCACAAAATGCTTGAGACTATTATTCACTTACAGTCAAGTAAGGTATTTCATAATAATTTGGTTGTTTTGTTTTTTGATATTTGCAAATGTTGTATATTGCCTTTAACTGAATAAGACAAACAACACAGCGAGTGAAACTTGTGAAATCAGTGACACATTTTCAATACATAAATAATAATGCCCACTTTAGAGAAAAAGTAAATTGAAAGTCTTGTTTTGCTAATAAAGTTTGAATCATTCATTTTCACATCACTGACTGAGTTATCTGGGCTTCTAATCTGCACATGCCACAAACGGTTCAGGAATCTGATCCAGGAAAGATCCCCCCTTTCATAAAATCTTAATTATCTAAGCATTTGTGATTTTTCAGCTGTGCAATAACACCCGGCCGGCAGCAGATAAAGCCCTGTCATGCCGAATCGCTCAAATGAGGGACGATTCTGCAAACGAACGCGACAGCCTGACAATGATGGCCAGCGCGGCAGATTGTCCTACGCACACGTTCCGCGCGAGATGTAAATACGTCCCCCTTTTTTTTTTATAGTACCAAAGCAGGGAAGGAAAAAACACTGAGCACGTGCAGTACCTCATTATATGCGCTCGCTCGTGCGGCGTTTCACAACAAGACAAGCTGTCGCGGTTTTGAATCAAAAATTTGAAGTGTTCCTTTTGAGGTGATTGCTACGTGCAGGTGAGAAAAAAAAATAAATTAGCAAATACTGGAAATGACGGGGGAATCGCCTGGCATATTGACAGGGACGACCGGGCAAACACGCCGGCTACTCCTACAAATTGATTCACTTCCTAATGGAAAACATGCAATCAGTTTTATTTTGTTTTTTTGTTTGCCTTGTCTTGAAGTGGAGAGAATCCAATTGGAGCCAGCCATCATATTTGTTGGGATTTACTAGTGAATGACGCATAGTGGATCTTGCAGTAAATTGATTGATTTAAAAGGGGGATTTTGCAGTTAAAGGGAGCGATGTGGCTTTTCAATACGTAGTTTTCCCGGATGTTTTCCCCCATGTTTCGGAAGTGGATGTTTGCCAGATCAAACTTTTTTTTTTGACATTGTCCTTCTGAAGCTTAGACTCTTTGGAAGTCTGTTTTGTCATGTTAGATACCTCCAGGGCAAACCTTCTCAATGGTGTTTTTGCTTGTGAAACTGAAAATATGAAATTCAGCTCTTTTATTTAAAAATTGCCAATGTGTTCACTTCTCATCATAGATTTTTTTAATCAACGCTACACTATAAGGTGTAACTATTTTAACCACTTCGCGCCAGGCTTATTTTTGCAGACAATTCCTAAATTTTCAAAAGGCAAACTTTCCCAGCCAACTTCTGATACACAGCCAAACGCCACAAACACTGATTCGCAAGAGTGATCTCAACAGTATTTATACTGACTTCGATTGAATTTTGTAGTCAAGAACAATTCTCTTGATGACCCATATCCAATCCCTTCAGAAGCAAATGATCCTATATGCTCACAAAGAGGAACCATTGCCCATTTGGCAGCCTTTGATTGAATTTTCGTGGTCAAGAATGTTCCACATGATGACCCATATCCCATCCCTTCCAAACATCCCTCACACTTACCTAAAATACATAGAGGTCGTCTTATAAAGCGAAGTCTCCCATAATGCCCCTGGTATCGACTCCTGCAGCCGGCCGACCATATTCTTAAGATGCACTCAATAGTAAGAGTTAACACAATTACCAATTCCTGCAAGAAGAGAAAAAATAAAAGTTTCAATTAATTTTTTTACCAAAGATTCCTCGAAACTCTAAAGGCCGGTTCATAATTCATGCGAAGCGAATGCAAAGCAAGTTTGACCCTGTGTAACATTCCGATTTTAGAACTGAAGACATCATTTCCAAAAAATGCGATATATACATATTAAAAAGTAAAAAAGTTGTACAGTTATGAAAACTAATAGAGCATACAATAGTATAAGAGCAGTTTCTAAGGCCAAAAAAAAAGTCTCCAGTTTCTGGAATGGAGCTTGCCCAAAAAGTGGTGCGGTGACGCGGCTTTTTTTTTTTTTACCTTATTTTTTTTGCCTCAAATGTCGGCTGATGACTGCAAATGGTGCCCGACTAAACTTAGTGCAAATATATGGGAGTCCAGAGAGGCCACATAAAGCTTATTCTCGATCATAGCCCCATCCAAAAACATGTTAAAATTGTGCAGCAGCAGGATTCCAGTCAAACCAGTGAGTTTGGCGGTTTTGAGACATCATCTTTCATTGAAAAAAACTTGTTTCATTTTTCCGACGCGCATGGCTACGGCGACGCGCGCGCATACCAGAAACCGGAGACTTTTTTTTTTGGCCTAAACTACATATTTTGTTTCTGTATTCTATTTTCATTTGTAGTTCACAACATAACGGCCGCCAAAACCTTGAACAACCAGGAGAGGGCAGGATTCTAAAATGTTACCAAATGGCAATTATTGCATTTTGGAAACACGCCCTCCAAAATGTTCAACATTTTAACATAAACTCAACAAACTAACTTAAAAGGCTTTGACAAAAAAAGTAAATAACCGTTATGACACAGTTAAAGTACCGATATAAACTAGAAACATCCATCATCGAGTCGCATTACAGACGGACTCTAGTTATATCTCCTCCTTGTCATCACTGGCTGGCGAGGGCTAAATCTAGGACAGGCCAGGCCAGTAAACAGTATGTCTGATACCGTTGCCTGATGCAGAGGGGAATACGTACGGATCAGGGAAGACATCTAGAATTATGTACGTCATAGGAACATGAATTATATACACGGGCAATTCCGTAAATATCAACGCACATGTACGTCCGACCACATGATGGACATGTACAAGTTCGTTTAAAGGCGGTGGTCCCTTACTTTGGTCTGTAATTGTTTTCTACTCATTAGATGTCATATATTACTTTTCCAGCAGTAGGTCTTTAAAGTGTCTGACATGTCGTCCAGATTAACGGATTGCCCATATCCTAAACAGTGACGTAACTAGGGCCAAACTTCGGGAGGGGGGTGTCTGGGTAAATGTTTTGTTTCAACAGTGCGACATCATTTTTTTTCATTTCAAGATTTCAAAAGGGGGCATTAACCATCCTGCTGTCTGTTAGCTATTTCAACGGAGTCGTCAATAGTCCTGCCATTATAACTGAATTTCCTTGACTATGCACTTTGGGAATTTTCTTCACTCGCGGAACTGATTTTTCTTCGGAACTCAATTGATTATCCCATTGGATAAGTTCCCCCATCTTTCAGTTTTTCAATGCTGCTATTAAACCTGAGGCCTGTCCATTCTCGTTTTTTATGACAAGGATTATTTTCCCCATTTTTAAGTTGTTCTGGAAAGCTCTTTTTAACAAAGCAATTTCAATTTTGGGTTTTAAGGGATAGATCAATGTACATGTATAGAATTGCCTTTGATTTCCTGTGGGGCTGGAGCTTGGGAGTCGAGACACAGTGGTCTTGGGAGCATTGCCCCTTGTGAAGGCAACATTCATGTAGACACAATAACATCAGTTGGAAATTCCTCTACTTGCGGCGAGCCAGTATGCCGGCTCCGAATGAGGCCCACTAGAGTCGACAGGCCACTTGATTTAATTTCATCTAACGTAGGCAAGTATTTCTGTATACTTCAAGAGTTAACGGCACCTCCTAGCTTACGGGATGCCTCTTATTGCCTTGCCACAGTTCTGGGCAGACCAATTACAATGGGGGTATGCAAACGTGAATGGGGTACTCTATCAAGCAGAATTTCTTCCCTAAAATTAAGATTGTGTTTGAGACACGCTTGCAGAACTACAGCTATGGGGGTTTTCGAAGCCTTTGCTCAGCTTCGGCTTTGCCTCCGACTTCTGAATCACTGAGAGGCAAACTAAACAAAAATATTCTAACGTTTGGCTTCATGTCAACTGATTGAATGTTCCTGAAGCATAACAGGCACCAAAATGTAGCTGGAGTTCCAGAAGTTTTGGGCCTTAAATCTCCTTAAGCCGAAGACAAAGCCAAAGCCGGTCTTTCGAAAACGCTCTATGTTTATTGTCAGCATGTTCCCATTAACAGTGTCACCGATTTGACAAATCTGTCCACTCAGCAGCAAAAGCAAGTTTTAAGAGAGCAAAAAAAAATCATGTTTCAAATGAAAAAATGCACAACTAGAAATGTGTTTGTCATGTGGACAAACCATCTGTTTCGGCTCTTTGTAAATACTTTGTGTCTTGTTTGACAATGTATGCATGTTCACACTTTCAACCCAATTGGCTTTCTGTTTCAATATTAGGGTTCAAAGAATCACCTTTAATGTGATGTAACATGACACCCAATGATGTCATCATGACGTCACATCAATTTTTGTCTATAACACATCTCTGTTTATGTGCATATCAAGTATCAACCAGATTGAACCCATAGTTGTACAGGGCTTCAAAATATGCACCTTTAATGTGATGTAACATGACACCCAATGATGTCATCATGACGTCACATAAATTTTTGTCTATAACACATCCCTGTTTATGTGCATATCAAGTATCAACCGAATTGAACCCAAAGTTGTGTAGATAAGGCTTCAAAATATGCACCTTTAATGTAATGCAGCATGACACCTGATGATGCCATCATGATGTCACATCAATTTTTGTCTAGAACACATCCCTGTTAATGTACATACCAAGTATCAACCCAATTGAGCCCATAGTTGTGTAGATACCTAGGGCTTCAAAATATGCACCTTTAATGTGATGTAGCCAGACACCCAATGTCATCATGACGTCACATCAATTTTCATCTATTACACATCCCTGTTTATGCGCATACCAATTAGTATCAACCCAGTTGAACCAATAGTTGTGTAGATAAGGCTTCAAAATATGCACCTTTAATGTGATGTAACATGACACCTGATGAAGTCATCATGACGTCACATCAATTTTCGTCTAGAACACATCCCTGTCTATGTACATACCAAGTATCAACCCAAAGCAAATGATCATATAGATGACCTTCAAGGGTAAGAACTGGATCGCATACTTCTAAAATTTGAAAGCAGACACGATTTTCTGCTTGATTGATACGTTTGTGGTCAAGAAGAGTAATAATTTTTTGTTTTCGTGTACATGTTTCATCTCATTGTCAAATATCGTTTTTCTTTCATCTATCACGCAGGACGCAAACTGCAAAGCACATCTCTTTCATCACGTCAAATCTTCCAAGAACAACAACCCTGCGAGTATTTTCCCCAGCAATACCTTCTCTTCTTTTCCCCCTTTCTGTGATCTTTTCCTGCCCGAGGCTACACAGTACAGATACAGAGATTTCCCACCGGACGTAAGCGCTAAATTGGAGTAGTCAGTCAATGCTCTAGATTCACCAACCGAACAGTACCCAAAAAAAAAAGGATAATAATAAAAGCAATACGAACCTAATACAATAACTTTTCCGGTCGCAGAGTTTTGACAAATGACCGTATTTTCCACTGCCATTTGGATGGCTAAGCTAAAGATAACAATCACATTAGTAGACATACATGGACGGTCTACATAGTAGCAACATGTGTTTGCCGTTTAATAAATGGTTTACTCCGGGGGTTTTCCGATGAGGATTGCAATGGTGATTAAATTTCATTTGACGACAATCCGGTAAAAGAGGATGCAATTATGACGAGATTTATTGGGGAATTCTTTGCGGCTGGGGAAATTGGGCACAAAAGGGTGATTAATTGTAACAATTATTTTCCCGCAGAATGAGAGGAATGGCTCCTTTTAAAGTCATAGATCATTTGCAGCTATCTAAAGTAGTAACTGACCAAATTATTGTTGAAAAGCATGCTTGGTTTAAAGATAGTAATGGCACTAAACTCCCTGTGAAATTATTCTTTCTGGCGTGCTGTCATTTTGAAGAAAACAACAAAAGAACGTCCAAAGATGCGTCAAGTGATGCATTTTTGGAAATTTCCGTTTGTTTGTTTGTAATTCGGCAAATCAATGAAAGCGTCAAATATCAGCCACTATGCTTCCTATTCTTTGTATTATTTTAATAAGCTCTTTGTCAGCTTTCAAAAGTGCAGGCACATACAAATCCCGGTTGGGCGGCTAGTTTAGGCTGGTGCACGTTAATTTGATCAGCACTACCGCTCGGCGAGTAACTTGATTACTCAAGTACTTGCAAGTAGTTTATGCTACCCGTTGTTCTACTCATGGTAATCATCTACTCGGGTACTCATCCTGGTGGGAGTAGAAGGAGGTACTCGTGAGTAGCAATTTAGGGTTTAGGGTTCACGGCTTAATACGTCCCCTGCAAACAGGGAATCACTCCCTCCACCTCTCTCTCCCTAGGATTCCATTAGACAAAACAAAAAAATCAAGTAAATGACCCAAAACGTTGCACAGTAAGGAAATCTCAGTGCTGCAGAATGTGGTTTGACTTGCATGCTATTTGCTTGTAAGTTACTTCACGTCATACTAACGGACATGCCATTTTTTCTGCCTTTATGGGAACTTGGTTAATTACTCGAGTACTGGACTACTCCAGAGTAATTTCTTTGTGAGTGCTCAAGTAGAAAAATCCACTACTCACCAAGGTCTATATTCAGCGCATTTTGAAAATATTCAAATATTCCAGTCCAAGAGGAATCGAAGACTGATTTATTCGGAAAAGTACAGCCCTACAAATGATATGCACCACACAAACTCACAAGGGAAAGACAGTGATGCCTCACAAATTACC